AGTGAGGGGTGTGTGTTGGTAGTGAGGGGTGTCTTGGTAGTGAGGGGTGTGTGTTGGTAGTGAGGGGTGTCTTGGTAGTGAGGGGTGTGTGTTGGTGGTGAGGTGTGTCTTGGTAGTGAGGGGTGTGTGTTGGTAGTGAGGGGTGTGTGTTGGTGGTGAGGTGTGTCTTGGTAGTGAGGGGTGTGTGTTGGTAGTGAGGGGTGTGTGTTGGTAGTGAGGGGTGTGTGTTGGTGGTGAGGTGTGTCTTCATAGTGAGGGGTGTGTGTTGGTGGTGAGGGTGTGTGTTGGTGAGGAGGTGTGTCTTGGTAGTGAGGGGTGTGTGTTGGTAGTGAGGGGTGTGTGTTGGTGAGGAGGTGTTTCTTGGTAGTGAGGGGTGTGTGTTGGTGGGGAGGTGTGTCTTGGTAGTGAGGGGTGTGTGTTGGTAGTGAGGGGTGGATGTTGGTGGTAAGGTGCGTGTCTTGGTGGTGAGGGTGTGTTTCTTGGTAGTGAGGGGTGTGTGTTGGTGGTGAGGGTGTGTTTCTTGGTAGTGAGGGGTGTGTGTTGGTGGGGAGGTGTGTCTTGGTAGTGAGGGGTGTGTGTTGGTAGTGAGGGGTGTGTGTTGGTAGTTAGGGGTGTGTGTTGGTGAGGAGGTGTTTCTTGGTAGTGAGGGGTGTGTGTTGGTGGGGAGGTGTGTCTTGGTAGTGAGCGGTGTGTGTTGGTGGGGAGGTGTGTCTTCGTAGTGAAGGGTGTGTGTTGGTGGTGAGGTGTGTGTGTTGGTGAGGAGGTGTGTATTCGTAGTGAGGGGTGTGTGTTGGTGGTGAGGTGTGTGTGTTGGTAGTGAGGGGTGTGTGTTGGTGGTGAGGTGTGTGTGTTGGTAGTGAGGTGCGTGTCTTGGTGGTGAGGGTGTGTGTTAGTGGGGAGGTGTGTCTTCGTAGTGAGGGGTGTGTGTTGGTAGTGAGGTGTGTGTGTTGGTGGTGAGGTGTGTGTGTTGGTGGTGAGGTGTGTATTCGTAGTGAGGGGTGTGTGTTGGTGGTTAGGTGTGTGTGTTGGTAGTGAGGGGTGTGTGTTGGTGGTGAGGTGTGTGTGTTGGTAGTGAGGTGCGTGTCTTGATGGCGAGGGTGTGTTCCTTTTCCCATGTGAACAGCATTTGTTCACATAGGTAAAACTCTGAACGAGTTTTAACCTTCGAGTTCTCATTGCCAGGGAGGCCTCTTAAACAAACGCTGCTGTCGCCCAATGCTTTAGGCAAGTGCCATCCATTTAAACTCTAGGGGCCCACTCACCGCAAAACGTAACTGTAAACGCTCATGTGCTTTTTTCTCATGGCTGTCTTGTAAATACAGCGACTTTCTCTCCGTGGACACATTCCTCAATTTTCCCTCGGTGTGTATATACAGGGCGTATCAAAAAGATGGACCCGATTTTGAAATCGCTAAATCTCTGCAACCACGAACCGCCCATGAATGAAACCCTAACCACTTGAGAGGGCGGGGCGTAGAGAGGGCGGGGCGTAACGTTTCAGATGATTACTGCTAGATGCCTCTCCCAGCGCACAAACAGCTCCTAGCCTCAGTCATTCTCTAGATGGTGGCCCCAGCACACAAACAGCCCCTAGCCTCAGTCATTCTCTAGATGGTGACCCCAGTGAACACAAACAGCCCCTAGTCTCAGTCATTCTCTAGATGGTGACCCCAGTGAACTAACAGCTCCTAGCCTCAATCATTCTCTAGATGGTGACCCCAGCACACAAACAGCCCCTAGCCTCAGTCATTCTCTAGATGGTGACCCCAGTACACAAACAGCCCCTAGCCTCAGTCACTCTCTAGATGGTGACCCCACAACACAAACAGCCCCTAGCCTCAGTCACTCTCTAGATGGTGACCCCAACACACAAACAGCCCCTAGCCTCAGTCATTCTCTAGATGGTGACCCCAGTGAACACAAACAGCCCCTAGCCTCAGTCACTCTCTAGATGGTGACCCCAGTACACAAACAGCCCCTAGCCTCAGTCATTCTCTAGATGGTGACCCCACAACACAAACAGCCCCTAGCCTCAGTCACTCTCTAGATGGTGACCCCAGCACACAAACAGCCCCTAGCCTCAGTCACTCTCTAGATGGTGACCCCAGTGAACACAAACAGCTCCTAGCCTCAGTCACTCTCTAGATGGTGACCCCAGTGAACACAAACAGCCCCTAGCCTCAGTCATTCTCTAGATGGTGACCCCAGCACACAAACAGCCCCTAGCCTCAGTCACTCTCTAGATGGTGACCCCAGTGAACACAAACAGCCCCTAGCCTCAGTCACTCTCTAGATGCCTCTCCCAGCACACAAACAGCCCCTAGCCTCAGTCATTCTCTAGATGGTGACCCCAGTGAACACAAACAGCCCCTAGCCTCAGTCATTCTCTAGATGGTGACCCCAGTGAACACAAACAGCTCCTAGCCTCAGTCATTCTCTAGATGGTGACCCCAGTGAACACAAACAGCCCCTAGCCTCAGTCATTCTCTAGATGGTGACCCCACAACACAAACAGCCCCTAGCCTCAGTCATTCTCTAGATGGTGACCCCAGTGAACACAAACAGCTCCTAGCCTCAGTCATTCTCTAGATGGTGACACCAGTGAACACAAACAGCCCCTAGCCTCAGTCATTCTCTAGATGGTGACCCCAGCGTACAAACAGCCCCTAGCCTCAGTCACTCTCTAGATGCCTCTCCCAGCACACAAACAGCCCCTAGCCTCAGTCATTCTCTAGATGGTGACCCCAGTGAACACAAACAGCTCCTAGCCTCAGTCATTCTCTAGATGGTGACACCAGTGAACACAAACAGCCCCTAGCCTCAGTCATTCTCTAGATGGTGACCCCAGCGTACAAACAGCCCCTAGCCTCAGTCACTCTCTAGATGCCTCTCCCAGCACACAAACAGCCCCTAGCCTCAGTCATTCTCTAGATGGCGACCCCAGTGAACACAAACAGCTCCTAGCCTCAGTCATTCTCTAGATGGTGACCCCAGTGAACACAAACAGCTCCTAGCCTCAGTCATTCTCTAGATGGTGACCCCAGTGAACACAAACAGCCCCTAGCCTCAGTCACTCTCTAGATGCCTCTCCCAGCACACAAACAGCCCCTAGCCTCAGTCATTATCTAGATGGTGACCCCAGTGAACACAAACAGCTCCTAGCCTCAGTCATTCTCTAGATGGTGACCCCAGTGAACACAAACAGCTCCTAGCCTCAGTCATTCTCTAGATGGTGACCCCAGTGAACACAAACAGCCCTTCGCCTCAGTCACTCTCTAGATGCCTCTCCCAGCACACAAACAGCCCCTAGCCTCAGTCATTCTCTAGATGGTGACCCCAGTGAACACAAACAGCCCCTAGCCTCAGTCATTCCCTAGATGGTGACCCCAGTGAACACAAACAGCCCCTAGCCTCAGTCATTCGCAAGGCGGTGACCCCCGCAACACAAGGGGCGTTTTGCGTTCTGCAGTTCAGCAAGACTGAATCCGTAATTGCAGTGCAGCGTGCGTTTCAACGGCGTTTTGGCATTGACCCGCCAATGTCAAAGAGCATTCGACGTTGGTACCGACAATTTGAGGAAACAGGCTGCTATTGATGTAAGGGGAAGAGCACAGGGCGACCTCGCACCTCGGAGCAAAACGTGAGAAGAGAGAGGCGTTTGGGGCGAATTCAACTATCGACTCGACGCTGTCCGTACAGCAGGTGGAGGGCACATAGAGCATTTATAAAATGGTTAGTAAGACTTGTATATCTATTACCTACGGCTTTCATAACTCTCTTATGAAGACAACTCAACTTCTATGTGTCTGTGGCCCGAGGCTCTCAGGCGTGTTCGTCAGTCCAGCTTCTCGAAGCAAACACTTTGTGGGACGCCCTTTCTCTCAAGCGCCTCGAAACCCCTGCTGCTGCTGCTGTTGCTTTACTGTAACTCACGCGTCCAGCGAGGGCTGCGGAGATGCAGTGGTCGGTGCACCGGAGGCCACCGGTGCGATTGTATCATCCCGTCGCACAGCAGTGGAAACGACGGTCCAGGTTTCTCAAATCCCAAACCCACCGCCGCCGTCTGCCCAACAGCGGTATGAATGGGGTTACAGCGCAGTAAGTCCAAGACGTCTGGCCACTGTGGAAGAGTAGACCAAAATGCGCTCCAGAGTTTTTTTTTCTAGCAGAGGCGCACCCGCCAGTGGTGGCCTGAGCAAGCGGTGGCAGGTCTACCCATTTCCCTTTTATAGCACCACCACCACCACCGGTAACACCGGTGAACTAGCACAGGGGATGTTCCTCCAAACAGCACGCTCAACTTCATCGGAGCACACACAATACCTCGCTGATCTCGTCAAGGAGCGTAAACCATCAGTCGGACTCCGGTCATCCTCACAGCAGCAGTGGCTTCTGGTTGGCGATCGAAGAAAGACGGTTACTGCGTCGCACGCTATAAGATACACTTCTGCGGCCGTCTGGAACGCTCTTCCTTCTGACATTAGGATGTCACTGGAGCTATGCACTTTTAAATCGAGATTTAAAACTCAGTTCTTTATAACTGCTTTTTGTGTTTAGTTTATTGTCCTTCCCCGCATGTCTGACTGGCTATGTACGATGTGAAAGAAGTTCAACATACATACATACGAGTAAACTTAAACATCGCTGACGACGCAGGGCAGCAGGGATGCCTCTGCCTGGCCACTGTGGTGGGGCCTTCTCGTGTCTGTTAAAGCCTCGGGACTCGGCGATGGGGGTTGGGATTCGGAATTGTGTGTTGTGATCCTGAGCAATTGTAAATTTCCAGACCATTGCTTCAGACAGGATATCAGGGTGGATGTGATGACACGACTCGAGCCCTGAAGTCACAAAATAAACCAAACAGCATACCCAGCATAAAGTCGTCATTATTGCTCGCTTCGTGGTTTGTGTGGTGAGAAATCTTTGTTTCTGTCTCCACCCCTCCTTCTCTTATGGTGTAAACTAAATATTGTATGTAAGAGAAGATGAACGATTATTTTTAATGCTTAGTGTTTTAATGTCATTTCAGAGATTTATTTGAAAAGTGGGACGTTGTTTAATGTGCTTGTGTTGGTACGTTGGCATGTGGTTTATATTTTACAGATCGCAGTGAGATATTTGTGAACCCTCTTGCACATGCATCCCTCCACGCTGACGTCCACCATCGCTTCCCGCTCACCGCCACAGCCATCGCCTCCATCACCTCTTCCTGTGTTCATAAGCAAAGAGGTGCGTTCACTCTTAAGCAATCAGGCACTCGTAATATTCGGCCATAACAAACGATGCCACGAACGGCCAACGAACACAGTGGACATTGAACGGCAATGAAAAGACTTTCGTTGCACAAGACAAAACACTCGATGGGAAGGCATGACGGGTACGCACGTGCAGAACAAGGAAAATTGAAGCCGGTCCTCCCAGCACACCTGCGCCCCTCTGCGCCTGCACACCTACCTGTACCTGTACACCTACTGTACCTGTACACCTACTGTACCCGTACACCTACCTCCCCGCCGGGGCCCTGCTCAGGCTGCCGAGCGCAGCGTGCTGGCGGCCGACTGCACGGCGTAGGTGGCGGCCGCCAAGTGCTGCCGCACTCGGTCCCAGGAGCCCGACCCCGCCAGGATGTCGCCCACGGCGTCCACCACCCCGGGGAAGGCCTCCACCGCGGACGAGCGTGGAGTCCACACCACGTGCCTGTAGCGACCGTGCCCACATGAAAGGTGGTGATGCACTGGGGTGGACGGGACACGAGCTTCCACGGGATATGGGGGCCTCCGGGGGGAAGTGGCTCTGACCGCGCCGTGGGGAACCCCGGCATGGCCGGTGGGAAATGACCCAGTGGCGGCAGCAGCAGCGACCGGTGGCAGGTGGGGCTTAATGTCTAAGACGGACAATGTGTGTCGCTCAGGAGTTGTACAAGCATTGCTGTACAAGCAAATCTGTAAATTACGACAAACAAAAACCCCCAATGCCCGTTTAACAGACGCCGGTGTGCCGGTGTGAATTCTGATGGTTCGTCATGCAGGTCACAGCGAGTGAACTGGAAATGTGGGGAGTGTGCTGAACCTAACAGCCTTTAGAGGGCTGGGTGGGCTCGTGGGTGGGCTAGTGGGTGGCTGTAGAGGGTTGGGTGGGATGTATGGCTGGGTGTAAAGTGCTATCGGGGGGGCTGGGTGGGCTTGTTACCAGGTATAGAGTGTTGTAGCGGGCTGGGCGGGCTGTGTTGTAGGGTATAAAGTGGTGTCGAGGGCTATGTGGGTTATTTGGTGGGCTGTAGAAGGCTGGGTGGGTTATATAGTAGGCTGTAGGGGCCTGGGTGGGCTAGATGGGGGCTGGGCAGGCTGGACTCAACCCCCCACTGGGTCCCATGTAAATGCTTCCCACATAAATGGGTTTCTATGAAAACGGTTCCCATGGAAGCAGCTGCCATGGAAATGGCTTCCAAGTAAAACGTGCTGAACGCTTTAACCCTTTCAGAAGCGCAGAGACTTCATTAACTACTGACTGCGGCAGCTGCGGGAATTAGAAAATTCAAGGCTGCTGCTGCTGTGTTGTCTGAAAATGTGTGGGTTTGTGTCGGTGACTTATTGGGAGAAGGGGCGTGTGTGTGTTTGTGTAGAGCTGTGTGTGTGTGTGCTGATGTGATGGTGGTGTGCTGTTTGCATCCCTCAAGTAGAGCTATGGGTGTAAACTTCACATGGGCCCCACTCATTCGGGGTTAATACCCCGAAAAACGTAGAATACTATCATTTCAAAAATGTGCTGGGTTATTTTCCCATTTAAATCACAATTTGTAGCTAAGCTGTAGATTCTTTATGAAAACTTCACTTGCATGATATCATTGTTTATGAATATATTAGTCCTATCGTCACCCTACATCTAATTAATGTGTAATATTTCCATAGCTTAGTTTTGTATTTTGTGCAGTGTTCTGTTTGGAGGTAATCTGCCCGAGCCGATTTGTGCTGCGGGGAATTGTGCTCGCGATATTTTCAATCACTCATCGTGTGATAGATGCATTCCTTTTTTGCAATTTGTTCCCGATTTTTGTTATTTTTTTTGCGCTTTTATAATTTGCGCGGCCAAGGTCACCCGAAAGTTGTGCGTGTCGTTGTGAGGGTGACGATGTGCGGCGCGCACCTGTAGTAGAGCTTGTCGGGAAAGGCCACGGGGTCGGTGAACGCTCTCTCCAGGAGCATCAGCTGGTCGTTAATCGCACGCACCTTCATTGGTCTGCATCAACAGATACAACTTTGATCACCGTGTGACTTCAAAAGCGTAGCTGGTACGGCCAGTGAGCACTTGCACAGGAGCCGCGGGATGGTGGATCCGCACGGCACCCGGGGACGGGTTTCGGAGAGAGGAGCCGCTCCTTGGGTGGAGGCCGCATCTCCCTCTCCTCAACGGGGCCGCGGTGGCCGCGGTACATGCCCTGGCTGTGTGGCCCCCACTCGCCGCTTGGAATGGAGCCCTTCACCCGGACATTCGAGCCCTTCGTTGTTTTGGCTGCACCGAGTTTTTCACTGAATAATTAATTCATCGGGATGAGGGAGTTTACTTTGATGGTAATCGTCTTGAAAGTAAATGTACTTTCGTGTATGAAGGGGACAGAATACATGTGACCGCTTGGGGAGGTTTTTTATTTTTTTGCTTTAAAGCTTTCGCGACTGCAGGGATTCATATTCTTGGTTCATATTGCTTTTTTCAAATGTCCTTGCTGTGGTTTTCACACCTGATGATGATTGCTTGTGTTGCAGTCGAAACGTCGTGAGAATTGTATAGCTTGGGGAGGCTTTAATCCAGCAGTGGCCGATATGGGTAATATAATACATATTTCAATGTGTACGTACTCTATTTCACATACAGTGTAATATGTGCATTTCACTTGTGGAGGTAGTTTAAATATACCGTGCATATAAGTGCTGGTAAACCGATTGAGAGCGGGATGCTGACAGGAGTCCCAACAGTGTTGCTGTTGGGCTTACTTTGCAGTCCTATCTGCATTGGCTACTCGCGCACATGAATGAGAGCGGTGTCATTAGGGCAAGCTAATCTTCATTATATTTTTTGTGTAATAACCGAGTTTGACTTGAAATTTCCCTTCATGCGTGTCCCATTTTATGAAAACATGTTGACAGCACCGAACGCGTGAGGTCACCTGGCGCGAGACGTGTGCACAATCGGAATCTTTATTTGGAGTTAGGATTCCTATGAGCTATGAAGCTGTTTTTTTTTTTCACAGATGTCCAGTATGGGCGGGTCAGCGAGTTACAACAAAAACACGACGGGAGTGAAAAAATCGAGAAAACGGTAAGCAAGTCACAAAACAATAAATAAGGGCATAACGCATTATTTATGAAAATTACATAAGTCCGATTTATCAAGCTTGGGCAAGGCAGCAAATACAACAACAAAAACAGTCCCAGACCCCACCAAGGCAGCAGCACAAAGTAGGCCCTCAAGGAGGGGAGGGAACTCACTCTGTGTCCGGGTTCACCGCGCTGATGAGGATGTTGAGATCCTCCGCGGCCTTTGATAAATCCTCGACCGCCGACTTGAGATCGTCTGTCGATCAGAAGTTACGTTAACAACTGTGGATGGTTAACATTTAAACTCGCAATAAACTCTTTGTTTCTATTTTACCAAGTGAGGCCCACTGAGCTACATAGCTGTTTGTTTCAGAAGCGACCAGGCCACAAATGATAGCTCAATGAAGTGGCTTATCATGTGGAAACTTAGGCAAATAACTTAAACGCATGGTTCTAAATGTGGAGGGGAAAAAACCGGAGGACCTGGAGAAAAATCCACACGACCAAGGGGAGAGAGACGCGCAAACTCCAAATACACAGCAGTCGTCATGATTGGAATGGAACCCACGACCTTCCTGCATACTGGGCGAGGTAATTAACATCTCGCCACAGCTGCTGATTCGGTGCTGGACTCGAGTTCAAGTTTTCCTTGCATTTGTTAAAACAGGTGAGGACTCGAGAGAGGCCAGGATAAAAAAAAATCTTCTTTGCTACAGGGATCTGTGTCAACAAAATGACAAAACGCAAAAACGATCAAGTGCAGCAATGATGCAAATGGGAATGAGAGTAAAGCAACTGTATCGCGTGAAAAATCGAAAATATTACCAAAACAATAAATCACCGTTAAAGAATGAATTACCTGTAGTCTAACTCGGCTCGGACAGATTCTGTTTAGACTGATCGGAGTACAATTACAAATTAACTAAAGCTGAACCGCTGTTGACTCAGAGGCCACAGGCCCACAGCCTCAATACAATTTTACCTTTCGATTTAAAGCTTTCGTGACTGCAAGGATTCATGTTCTTTGGTTCTTTGGGTAAAGTCACGTAGAACGAGATTATTATTATTTAGTTATTTTATTCTCATTCTACGTGACTTTACCGAAGAACCAAAGAAGACAATTTTACCTGATATATTTTAGACCTTTATACGCGTCCTTCACGCATGCAGTCACTGCACATGTATAACATTTACTGATTGTAATGTGGAAGAAAAAAAACTTGTCTTACAACGCCTGCAAAACGGCTTTTTCTTTGCACTTCTCTCATGCGTCCAGCCACGGCTACTGTTGCTCACTCGATGCTGGCCTCCCAATGTGCTGCCCTGGTAATATTTGAGGTCAGGTCGCTTCTGAAAAATAAGTTAATACCTCGGTAGGCTTTGCCTGGTAGGACGGGGATGGTTGAGTGTTGCATTTGTTTGTGTTTGGGTGATTTTATTCCTTGGTTCAATCTTGATTTTGAAGCTTTCGCGACTGCAGCAATCCATACTCTTTGGTTCTTTCGGTGAAGTCACGTGGGTAGAAATGAAATCAAACAAATCACGACGTTTCGATCGCCGCTTGTGCTGCGATCGAAACGTCATGATTTGTTTAATTTTATTCCCAACTAAATAAAAAAAATATATATATTTTATGTCTACGTGACTTTACCGAAAGAACCAAAGAATACGAATTCCTGCAGTCACGAAAGTTGAAAGTAAAAATTTGGGTGATTTGTTTACGTTCCTTGTACTTTGCACAATCTCACGTTGTTGTACTGTTCGTTGTTGTAACGTTCTTACCCGCCCCTACCGGACATCTGTGAGACATTGCTTTATCGCTCATCAGATTCCTCCAGGATAAATCAAAGATTCTGATTCTGCTCTGTTGTACTGCCTTGGCACGCCGACCACGTGCTCGCCTATTGCACCGCCCCCGATGTGCAACCTGCACACTCCGCTCGGTGTGATTGATGCCCGCGCGACGCACGTGTACCAACCGAGTGAGATGCCCTGAGCGTCGAGCAGCTGCCCATGATTGGAGGCGAGCGTGGCGTGCATGGCGAGCAGAGTCTCCACGTAGTCCATGCCATTGTAGGGCAGCAGCAGGGAGTCCGCGAGGCGCAGCAGGGTGTAGGCAGCCGTTCGAGCCACAGCCTGGTGACTCGTGAAGCCTGCGTCGGGGGTGGGGGGCGGGCAGAGTGGTTTAGGGGTGTGCACGTGGAATCACGCGGTGGTATATGCAGGAATTGGAGAACGGAGAGACTGCATCCGGTACAGAGTGGGCCTTTGATAGGCGTTGAAGACATCGTACCCGGGTCGATGAAGGTGGAGGCGTAGTCGAACGTGTCGTAGCCGGTATGGTACGCCGGATATATGCGAGCCTTGGATTTACTCTGTGAACAAAAAAAAATAAACAACGCAAAGCTGTTTTGTTGACGGTACATAGAGTGCGGTTCCGATTGCCTTGGCTGAGCGTTGTGTGGTCGCCGGCGCGGGCACGTACGCTGTCGTACGTGTACGAGAAGTCGATGCACGGCACGCCCAGGTAGTGGATGAAGGGCCCGTAGTCACTCCCGTCCCCGATCTCCAGCAGTCTGCACGCGGAGAGAGGTGTGCAAGCCAGTGCCGGATTACCCGAGGAGCAACAGTAGCTGCGTATGCTACGAAACCCCGCACTTTCAAGGGTCCCCGCGCTAAATGATTTCAAGCTATAAATTCCGGTTCAGTGATTCTGCACTTGCTCTATTACTATAGTACTATACCGCCTTCAACTTTTATGAACGACTGGGTGTTTAAGTTTAGCGATTTGTCGTATTATTTGGCTGTATAGCACGTAAAAATAGGCAATTACTTTACTATGCAAGTAAAAAAATAGTTTTTTAATATTTATGTTTTTTTTATTTAGGGCCCCTTTTTAACAACATATGCTACAGGCCCCGCACTTAAGCTTCACCCGGCACTAGGAACAGCACAGGCTCAGGTCAAGTTGGCAGTGCCCTCCTCTGTGCCACCACGATGGCCTGCCTGCCTGCCTGCACCACACAGCAGCTCCACGCCGCTCGCCTTTAACGCGCGCAATTTGTTCTGCACGGAGAGAGAGTCAGCTGCCACTCGGCCTGGGGCTTCTTGTCGAAACGAAAGCGTCCTGTTTTGGAACCTCACCAGTTATCCACGGCGGGGGGGTGGGGGGGGAGTCGTTTAAAGGTGTGCGTCTGCCGACACGGCGGGCAATCCCAGGAGGGATGGCAGAGATCCCACGCCCCACGATTACCTGTGACCTCTCTACCCTCTTACTCTGTTGTCCTTGGTGAAACTGAACAAACACTGGGCCATGCCCGCCAAGATGATTCCAGCGTGTGTCGGTGGTGTTTGGGGGGGGGGGGTGATCAGCTCACTTGGGGATGACGCCCAGCGAGGGGCTAGTTCTGTTGTAGTGCGAGAGCCACACGTCATACACGGACTTGTGGCTGCCCGACAGGTCCGGGTGCTTCACCTGGCAGAGAGAGAGAGAGAACGGCAACGCGCGGAATCTGGGTCAACGTTTTCGTTTCTGCTGCGGTAACGAGACCCTCTTGAGCACGGGGAGCCCCCTCGAAACCGTCAACGAAGGCAGCAGAAATTGCGGGCAGAAATCTTTTGCACGGCAACAGAATTCTGGTGACATCTTATTGGGTATGAATTGACCATTGAGGACGAATCCGTTACACAATCACGAGCACAACTCTTAGCGTCACCGATTTGGAACGCAATTCTCCAAAGTGCGAGAGACAATTCCGCAATTTCCCGAAAGTGTCATGCCTGGCGTTTCTTTAGCCGAACTGATGATGCGAGGTGGGGGCACTTTGCGTGGGGACGGAGCGTGCATTTGCGTGAGCAGGAGGAGGGATGAAAGAGTTTGTGAGTTATGGGGAGCGGTGGTGTGGCGGTTAGCGCGCCGCGCTACCAACCCAACGAATCGATTTCGATTACCCGCTCACGGCCAACACCCAGTGACGATCATCTGAACCGGTACCTGGGCCTCCCCTAGGTCGACTCGGCCTCAAACGAGTACCTCGCGCGCTGTGTAAAACAACGCCACGGGGAGGGAGACAAAGGCGGCAGGGCGTGGTGTTGCCCAAACCACCCCCTTTCGTGTTGTTAACAGGTGCTGTTCGCGCTAACAGCACCTGCCCCAACAGTCTGTCAGGGCTACACTATGGGGAGGGGGGGTGGATGGGGGGGGGATGAGTGTCTTTGTTGTGTGGGCGTGGCGTGTCTGTCCCTGCGTGTGCGTGCGTGCGTGCGCGTGCGTCCCTGTGTGTGTGCGTGCGCGTGTGTGCGTGCGTGCGTGCGCGTGTGCGTGCGTCCCTGTGCGCGTGCGCTTACGTTGCGTGCTGCCTCCATGGCGACGCGCTGCATGGGCGGAGTTCCGCGCACTCGCAAGGTCGCATTGGCTTGCGCGTTCGGGGGAAACGAGAAAGAGAGAGCGAGAGAGAGAAAGAGAGCCTCATCAACAACGTGGCCGGGGGCTGCTTGCGATGGGGGTGAAGAACGACCGTCGGCTTGACCGACGGTCGTTACGTCCCGAAGTTTAAACCCCCCTCCCTCCCACAAAACAAACGAACAAAAACAAAGGAGGAAGGCCGCTGACTTGCTGCTCGCACGCCTCCGATTAGCGCGCTCGGTCTACGCGCGGCGTGCCAAGGAAATTCCACGTGCACGGCGCCCTCGTGATGGGAACCGGTATTGGGTGACATTTACCCTTGAGATGATTCTCACGCGACGCTCAGAGGGAAATGTACGCGTTTCCTGCCTTAAACAGCCGTCGGCATGCTAAGATGAATCGCAGTTTGGCCATGACGGTTTAAAGGGCTCTTATCAAGGCTGAAGAAAATTACAAAACCGCAGCCACCCTCTCTCGGGAGAGGGCTGCAGGGATGTCCTCACCGAACACGGAAATGTCAACATTGATGTAGCCCACGGCCCTCTCCATGAGAGTCTTGTAATACTCCTGTGAAAAGAGAGGAAGCTATTACTCCGAGTCTGCTCGTTCACACGCGGACGCATCAAGGAGCAACTCGGCTTACCCCCAGGCCATTGTGACCTAAGCACGCTGCGAATGACTGTGGCACCCACCACAACCAGTGTCAGCGCCCCTCGGAATAAAGGCATTCGTGAAAAACACCCCGCCTCTTGATGTGGAGCCGTTCGGACGAGGCTGAGGCTGGCTCTGCTATGTTGTTTTGGCTATTGTCCACACGAAGACGAAGTAAATTAATTAAATCGACTCAAACATTTTTTTTTTTAAATATTTTACCACTGAGCTATATAGCTCTTTTTTTCAGAGGCGACCTGGCCACAAATGATAGCTCAGTGAGGCGGCTTATTACGTGGACATTTCTACGAGTATTTGTAAGCACAAGTAGGCTGGTAAATGCGAGACGAGCTTTTTGAGGAGGATGCTCATCAAACTCTCGCACGTCCAAATGAGGCGCATCTCATTTGCAAACGCCTCTGTCTGACGGCGCAGAAGGACGCTCTTCCGAGGCGTAGGCGACTGCTGGGAATGGCGAGAGCGGCAATCACTCACGACCCCCAACCGAACAATGTGAATGATCAATTTGAAAGAAAGAAAGAAAAAAAGCAGTGGAGGAAATAGATTGTTACAAGGCTTTTAATATTTAAATAAGTGTCGTGACTGAAAATGTCAGACCACGTTGGCCCTCACGCATTTAATCTGCGGAGGTTTCAGGGGGGTCGGCTTCCGGCTTGTAAAGCATCACGGCTGATGGCACGGGCTACATTTTTATAACGTTATCAGATGGACCATGAGGTTTCGCATTAACATTCATCAAAGTGACATGGAATCTATTTCCACGAGCTTGGATCTGGCTCCACATAGCCCCGTTAACAATTCAACACGTGACGAACAAGAACCATAAACTCGTGGCCACGTGCGGGTCGGTGCGACCGTTGTCGCTCGCGATGTGCGAGTCTTCATCCCTATCGGGGCAGTGCTTGGTTCAGAGGGCATGGAGGCAAGACGGCGGTGTGGATGGTGGGGCGAATAAGGGGGTGGTGAGAGAGGGGGGGGGGGGGGGCCAAGGGGTGGTGGGGGAGGGGGCTCTGTCGTTTGTGAAACCTCGGCCCACTCGACGGAGCCGATCAGTCCGAACTCCTCCGCCCCCCAGCTGCAAAACACGATGGAACGCTTGGGTCTCCACTGGCCTGGGGGAGCGAAGCGGCCATGGGGGGAGGGGGGGCGGAAAGAGCACAATGGTTACACTGGGGGGGTCACACCGAGATCGGGGATTAGAGATTAGGGTCAGGGGTCGTGGGTCGGAGGCTGGGGCTGTGTAGCGATTGGCGGAGGAGGCTGACCTTCCTTGACGATGCTGCCCAGGGCGCGCGTTATTTCCAGCATGACGCTGGTGCCGCTGCTGGGGTCGATGGCGCCGTGCACCCAGCTGTCCCGATGGTTCCCGTACAGCACGTAGCGGTCTGCAGGCCGCGGCACCGGCTCCCTCGGTCAGCCACGGCTCGCACTCCCACCCCCCACACCCCCCACACCCCCAACGGGTTCGTGCCCGCGACTGAAGCAGGGCGCTTCACGCCGCCTCACCCCCCCCTCGTTAAAAAAATTAAACCCCTACGCTGGCACGATGGATTTTGAGTTGTTTTTTGTTTACGAGCAACTACAGCCACAGCTGTTGTTAAGGGTTGAGGTATGAAGCCGTGACGGTGTTGGCTTCGGGGAGGAGTATGCCCCGCGGTTGTGCAGTTTTACACTCGCGTGTTCAATTTAGCCTGTCATGAGGGCGTGCACCACCGCTGTCTCTGCGGCAGTGCAGCTGCCAAGAGTTTCCCTCCGCAACGTCTCAGGTTTCCCCTGTGCGAACACACCAGCTGATGTCTGGTGAACGCTGCTTCCATTGTTTCCCGCATCTGATGTGGCCGATTTCGACAATTTGCAAAATTCTGGTGTGGAGTGACATTGTACCTGGCTCTGTGCTTCCGCGGATGACCCCGATCACGTTGTGGGATGTCTTGATCACTCGCTTATTGAAGGAATTTATTTGCACGTCACTGTTAACGGGGATATAAATAACACATTTTCTGCGTTGGAAACGCACTCTTGAAATATGAATGTGGCAGAGGCGGCGTTGCTCAACTTTCGCGGTGAAGCGGCGTGCAATGTGCACAGTAGTAAATAGGGCGATGAGGATGGTGGAAGTGGGATCACTTCAGCATGTGTGATCATTGTCCATCACGTAGCCAAGCTCTTTAGCCCGTGTACGTGGAGACTGGCCAATGATGCATCCCTCTGCCTTGGCAGGACAGGAAGCAAGGGGGACTTCACCTGTTTTCCTCAGGGGCGGAGAAGCCGGGCCCGATGTTGTAGGGGCAGTCCAGGGCCCCTTTCCAGTCAGCTGGCGCAGCCTCACCCGCCAGCTTCCTGGAGGCACGCGGATCATCGCGAGTGGGGTGCACGGGTGAAGTGGCGTTAGCCAGTCACGAGTGATGGGATGCTCTGCTTGAGCATCCCATCATCAGAATCATCGTCTTCCGCAGACGGCTATTGGCAATAGGTGCCGCGTGTTTATGTACAGCACGACAGTCTCTAATTTGGAGTCTTTGACACCAGGATATGGACATTTGACTCCCAAGAAGCGTACATATGATAAATCATAATTTTTTTATTGATGAATACGATTAATATGGTTAGAAGCAGTGGCAGCCCAAATCAGCAGAGCTGGAGTCAAGATCCTGCTGATGCCATGGCTGAGATGAAAGAGATACTGCTTCACTAAAATCCTACCTATAACGCCCACGGATGCGTAGGGCTTTCACCCACAAGCTTTGGCATAGCGAGTACTGGAACGAATTCGTGGAATCCGCTGAGCTGCCATCTCGTTTGCGAGCATTTCAGGGTTGCTCAGCAAGAGCAGCTTAATGAAGCTTCAGCCAGTTTAACCACGTAGGCTTTTGCGACCAATATTTTCATGATGCTAGCTGTAATTACTGGCAAAACGTCGTACTCGAATTGTAAATGTTGTGGATTTACTCTCCAACGCACCGGTGTGCTGTACTAGTAACGAATTGGCATGTTTTGTTTACGTGACAACCTTACTAATTTGCCGTGTCGGGTGGTGGCGGGTTTAACGACACATTTATTTACGCGATCTACTCCCCCCCCCCCCCTATTATGGAAGCCCAAGCCATTGGCGTGGCAGTGTTAAACGTGCAACGTTGCCACCTGCTGCACGAATGGCTGAGGTGATGCACTGGGCACCCGTGCCGCTGGAGGGGACCCGGGGGAGAATGTGTCCTGCGATGGCCTTCGAGGTCACCGCGCTCACCTCATGAGGAGCTCGGCATCTTCATAGCCAATCGGCTGGGCTGGGATGGGAGGGAATGACTTGATCTCGCTGTCGTTCTTTCGGAAGGCGTAAGCTGTGACACAATATGGGTCACGCTGGTGAGAGACGCTGTCGCCGGGCGAGCCCTATGGAGCCACACTCAAAACAGAACGCTCTCCCCCAAGACACGTAGAGCCAACGTTAGTGAAACCCATTTACCACCGACGGGTGCGCGTCAATTTTTCACTTTGCTTGCAAACCTGTTAAATGGTTTCGTTTAAGTTACACATTCCTCTTGTGATCCCCGTGTTTTTTTTCATGACAATTCCCCTTGTTGTGGCCCCTCGACTTTCAAACTCAGATCATGCTTTGATGTTCCGCGTGGCGCGGGGAGTCGCAGCGTGAGGCATGAAAAGCACGTTTATTAATTCTCAGAAACAGCCGTCGTCCACGACTTTAGCCGCACGCACGGCACACGCAGCGCTGCGCTGAAACTCAGCCAGCACCTTCGCTGATGCCAAGCGTCTGCCCACTGTCACATGTTACAATTTAAACAGGAAAACATTCAGGAGAGAAAAAAATAACATTTTGAATGTTCGAAACAGATACATGCCCTCTTATATGGAATTTTTTTTATTTTGTCAACTGACACCCCGGACAGCCTTGCAAACAAGACGGTCCATCCTCAAGGGATGGTACTGGTGAAGCATATTTATAAACAGAATAAAGTAAGAACGTGAGCGTCAGGATCTTCACTCACAACACGTCGTCCCGAGTCGGTTTGAACTTTGAAGCCTCGATGGTTGGGCTTACTTCGTTGGGGTGCTCAGTCTGCCAGCGAGCTGCGCCCATTGACAGGCAGCGGTGCCTTTGTGCGTGCCTTTGTCTCCACTGTGTGGGGAGCGGTGGTGTGAGCGGTTAGCGGCACTGCGCAACGAACCCGGCGACCCGAGTTCGATTTTCGCTCACGGCCAACGCCGATGACGATTATCTGAACCGGTACCCGGGCCTCCTCTAGGTCGACTCAGCCTGAAATGAGTACCTGCTGTGGCGTGTACAAATCGGTACTGGGGAGACAAAGGCGGCCGGGCGTGGTGTTGGCCACCCACCCCCATCGTGTGCCGTGCCGACCTTCACAGGTGCTACTCGCTAACAGCCACTTTGCCCTAACAGTCTGTTAAGGCTACACGGGGGATCTTTGTCTCCGTTGATCTCCACTGCGTGGTGTGGGCGTTCTAGGTTTAAGTGAAGGGGGTGCGAACCTTTTGCTGGGTAGTACGGGGTCAGAGGGTCGCCCATGTCCTCGAAGTAGGAACCCCTCTCCACGCCCGAGCGAGGCAGGCCCCAGGATTTGGGGTAGGCGTTGTCGACATCCCCGTCGTTGATGTCGGCCGGGTCGGTGTACACCAGAAGGCCTACGACGCCCACGCTCTCCGCGTTGATTGCCTGCGGCGACAAGCACGACCGTGCCTATTGGTGGGACAAACGGCTGAGGTTGACGAGCTCTAGCCCCGCACTGGGGCAGTGCACCACATGGCGTTGATGTAGCTGTAGTTTCCAAGCGTTTTTTGCCCGATGCGCTACGCTACACAATTGCTGTGCTAGCGTTCTCTTAAAATACATGGGGAATAGATTTTTTTCTCTCTCTCTCTCTTCCAATGGAAAGAATCGTTTTTATTGAGCTGGCCTCTTTTGAAATAAACATAACCTTTTCTAGTCAATGGGAAAAATTCAATATGAATTCTCTTTCATCCCCTTGACCTCAGCAATGGTCACCGAAGAGGCAGCAGTTTATTTCCCAAACCTGAACAGGTCATCTCACTGTCTGCATTGGTTGTTTGGACCAGCAGAAGCACGTGGCATGGCCCATCGTTAGCCTGTTCGCGGTTTGAATCGGGACGGCCGTGCCGGTTAATACTGCGGGTGTTTTAACCGTAAAATTACACGCCGTCTGCTCCACAGCCGACCTTGAAGGTCCCGTGACATTCATTCGAAGAAGAACAGGCCATTGTGTTGCCAGCGTCATTCTTTCGTCGGGAAACACGCAGCGGCTTTAATAGTCACGCTCTACTTGGAAAGCCTCGGCAGGACCCTGCTGAAAAACGAGTACCGAGGCTCGGTGAGGCTTTCCTGGGTAGACAAGCCGTAAAAATACGAGTACTGTAACAACACACCAAAATGTATTACAGCAATTGTAACGCGAAAACACGAACGCTCGTTTGGGGTGTTCGTGGTGTGGCCGGGGCCCCGGAGGGAGGGGTGGGGGTGACGGCGAGACGCCTCTTTCCACCTTCCTCGCGCGTCCCGCTTTGCCGTATTTGCAGATGGCGATGGTGCCCGTGAGGTTCACGTTTCTGGATTTCAGATGCTCAAAGTCCTCGGCTCTGCCGTAGTTTGCGAACACGAGCTTGCCCTGCGCACAGCACACAGCATGCGAGTGCACCAAAGCGTGCGCCGCTCAAGAAAACCCCGCCGAGTTCTCTCTTTCTGCAGCGCTGGGGTTTCGTTGGAGTGATGCGTGGAATATTATTGGACTAATGTGACGTATAACAGCAGCTAGTTGGGACGAATGATTGCGGGCTCAATTATAAGTGAGTTGTTGTAATTACGGACGAATGCTCACCGACCCATGGCAAGGTGTACGTGACTCCACAGTACACCCTACGGCGTGGCTCTGATGGGAGGGAGTGGGGCTACGTGTGGTTTACTGGTGATGCGGTGGTGTGTGGTGTGTGGAGCGGTGGCGCAGCCGTTAGCGCACTGTGCTAGGAACCCTGACTACCCGAGCTAGATTCCCGCTCACGGCTAATAGCAGTGGCGGATATTTAATCCGGTCCTGGGCTTCCCTTAGGTTGACTCGGCCTCAAATGAGTACCTGGCGCGGTGTGTAAGCATCGGCACTCGGGAGACAAAGGCGGCCGGGCGTGGCGCTGGCCACCCAACCCCCTCGTGTGCCGTATCGGCCTTCATATAGCCGCGTTACCCGCTAACAGCACTTGCCCCAACAGTCTGTAAAGGCTATACGGGGAGGGGGGGGGGGGTCTTTGTATTTTGTGTGAGCAGAGAGTGTGTTGAGGGTCAAGTGTGGGTCATGGTGGGTTCTGTTGTCCATGCGTCTGTCTGTGCTTAAACTTTCTGACCTGCCCCTACTGGACATCTGTGAAAAAGAGCTTCATAGCTCATCGGATTCTTCCAGTCGAAGTAAGTAAATGATTCGTTCCGTGGGCGTTGCGAGTTACGGGTCTTGTGTGGGAACAAACGAACAAACAGTCGGTCAATATTAGAGGGTTTTTTTTCGGTGGGGGAGGGGGGGGGGGTCATCCAAAAAAACCTGTCATGGATAATATTGGTCGCGAATGCGTACGTGTTAAACAGTCGGTCGGTCGGCGCTCACAAAAGGGCACTTTCCGCCGCGTGTCACCTACACCGTGGCCCAGCAGAGGGCAGGAGCAGGAGGGCGATGCTCGGGGGGAGGCACAACGCAGCCCTCTGGCGACGGGCGAGAGCAAAAACCGAGCGCACGGAGAGGGGAACTCCGCCGTGAATCGATAGCGCCGACTCAGTAAGGTCTCCCGCAATACCGCACGAGCGCCTTGGGGCAGGCAGCCTCACTGCCAGACCTCCGCTCACAAGTGGTTTGTTGCTCGAACGCTTTCCCATCAGCTTTCTCTGGTCGAACCCTCGTTCCCAACAACAACAACAAAATGAATGAAACCGAATTGACGAGCGGGCTTGAACGTGTGAGAGAACAGTCGTATGATGAAACAATGTCCATGGGCTGCTCACCTTTGGTCTCCCAGGGGGTGAGTAAGCGGCGTACGGTGGGACGATGCTTGAGTCCTCCTGGTCCGCGGTCACCACCTCCTCCTGCTTTCGTGCAGTGTAGGTCTCCACGCCGCTCGAGTTCACTGGCGGTGCGGCCAGGGGCAACCGCGTGTGGGCAGGTGCAGGGGCGAGCAGGTGCAAGGTGCAATGTTAGTCTTGGACATAGCCCGGGGCTACCTCTGCTGGAGGCCAGGGCATCCACTTCAAAGAGCCCCAGCGGAGACATATGAGTCATGGGGGACTGCGAGGAGCTGTGTCCCCGCAGCGATGAGAGGCTGCTGGAGTCACCCAGGAGGGGAGGGAGCCAGGTCCGGATGTTGATGGTGATGGTGAGATTGGTGGTGGGAGTGGGTTGATGGTTGTCTTGTGGGGAGCAGTGGTCTAGCGGTTAGCGTGCTGTGCCAAAAAAAAAACAGTGACCTAAGTTCGATTTCCGCTGATGGCCAACACCGGTAACGATTATCTGAATCAGTCCTGGGCCTCCCCTAGGTCGATTCAGCCTTAAATGAGTACCTGGTGCGGTGTGTAAACATCGCCACCGGGGAGACAAAGGCTACCCAGCGTGGCGCTGGCCACCCACCCCTGTGTGTGCCGAGCCGGTTTTCACAGGTGCTCGCTAACATGCACTTCACTAAAAGTCTGTTAAGGCTTTGTCTTTGGTGGTGGTAGTGGGTTCATGGTTTTCTTGCGGGCGATGGGGGTGATGGTGGAGGAAGTGTTGATGAGAGTAATGATGATAAAGGTGATTGTGACAAATGCTGCATATGCTGTGATGTTGATGGGGGTGATGTATCACTCCTGCGCACAGAGGTCACGACATACAAAATGTCAGCAGAAGCACATTTTAAATGAACAGCGTGAAAGTCATTCTTGGGACACGGCACAAAAGCATTCCATACATTTTTGGGAGCTGAGGTTTTAAGCTCTGCATACCATCCCGTTCATTACATGCACCGCGGGAGCACTTTGGATTTTAAATTACAGAAATATTACGTAATTTAGCATCATTGGAGGAAACAAAAAATCACGGACTTTAAAATGTATGATTGTGTACCTTCCCTGTGTCTGTAAGTGTTTGACGTGTGTCGAGTGCCCACGTCAGAGATCTCCACCCGCTTGTGTGACTGACCACCCTCCTGGGTCCGTGTTCACCTTTCGGCATTTGCCCCGGTAAAGTTCGAATGGATGGCCAACGATTGCTGCGCGCGACCGTGTCCCGGGCGACTCACGGGTGACGAAACGTCTCCTCCCTCTCGTGTAGGTGCGCGAGTGTTTGCGAGGTCAGCGCCTGCCCGGCGTTCACGAGCGGAACGCACCGACCGTCACGCTGTTTCCGTTCTTCTCGTCGGGGAAGGAGAGGAGCACGTCGTAGGGAACCAGCTCGGCGTGGTCGAGGCCCTCTGCTCCGTCGGACCAGCGCGACAGGATGAGCTTGGCGAGATTCTCGTCGCCTGCCGTGCTGGCCAGGTGGGGCTTCGCGGACAGCTCCCTGCACCCAGGGAGGTATCGCCAAACCCGTTCACATTCCCCCTCACCACCACCACCACCACCTTGGCATGCTCTAGCAGGAGCGAATGCGTCGTTGCCGAATAACTATGATACTTTTTTTTCGTCTTTTCTCCCCCTCCCCCCGATGTTGCCCCGTTTGTTCTCCCAGAGTTACGTCACGAGATAATCAATGAGACAAATAATCCATTCGCAACTCTCGCATAGGGAATTCACTCCCGATTCCCCCTCCCCGCCCCCCATTCGTGTGAGGAAATGGCCTCCGGAAGCAGGTATCACAGCACTACTTCTTAAATCCCTGCAAGTGATCTCTTATCTCCACGGGGGGGCAGAGCTTTCCCACCCACCTAGCTTCAGAGTAATGCTCATGGCATGACAACTAATATTTATAATTTTCAGAGCTGGAATTCGGCCAAATTAATTAGAAAACTAAATTTCACATCGTGGGGTTTTTTGTTGTTGTTGCAATCATTGGTGGCTGGATTGACACCATCAACTCAGCTCATCTGTAACCCGGTTTAATCACAAGAGTCTGAACCTTGAGTTCTAACCTGGGATCTTAGCAGTGCCAACTCAGCGTTCTGACATTTGGGTCCCCACGGCCACCTCGTTATGAAACTTTAATGCAGTCGCAAGCATCTCGCTCGTCTGCTCTGCCTTACTCAGCGAATGCGTCTCGCGGCTCTACGTCGACACGCGCTGATGAATTTGTTCAGGGTGCGAGTGTGTGTCTTTTGGTGTTCCTGATGTGTTCGTAATAGGGGAAAGGATGGAGTGTGTCTGTGTGTTTGTGTGTGCGTGTGACTGTATGTATGTGTCTGCGTGTTTGTGTGTGCGTGTGACTGTATGTGTGTGTCTGCGTGTTTGTGTGTGCGTGTGACTGTATGTATGTGTCTGCGTGTTTGTGTGTGCGTGTGTCTGTATGTGTGTGGGGAGCGATAGTGTAGCGGTTAGCGCGCTGCGCTATAAACCTGGCGACCTGGGTTCGATTCCCGCTCACGGCCAACACCAGTGACAATTATCTGAACCGGTCCCGGGCCTCCCCTAGGTCTACTCAGCCTCAAATGAGTACCTGGTGCGGTGTGTAAACATTGCCACTTGGGAGACAAAGGCGGTCGGGCGTGGTGCTGGCCACCCACCCCCTCGTGTATCGTTCCGGCCTTCAAAGGTGCTCGCTAACAGCACTTGCCCAGTCTGTTAAGGCTATATGGGGGATATTTTTTATGTGTCTGCGTGTTTGTGTGTGCGTGTGTTTGTATGTGTCTGCGTGTTTGTGTGTCCGCGTGTTTGTGTGTCTGCGTGTTTGTGTGTGCGTGTGTCTGTATGTATGTCTGCGTGTTTGTGTGTGCGTGTGTTTGTATGTGTCTGCGTGTTTGTGTGTGCGTGTGTTTGTATGTGTGTGTCTGTGTGTTTGTGTGTGTCTGCGTGTCTGTATGTGCCTGCGTGTTTGTGTGTGCCTGCGTGTGTTGTGTGTGCCTGCGTGTTTGTGTGTGCGTGTGTTTGTATGTGTGTGTCTGTGTGTTTGTGTCTGCGTGTCTGTATGTGCCTGCGTGTTTGTGTGTGTCTGCGTGTCTGTATGTGCCTGCGTGTTTGTGTGTCCGCGTGTTTGTGTCCGCGTGTTTGTGTGTGTCTGTGTGTTTGTGTGTGCGTGTGTTTGTATGTGTCTGCGTGTTTGTGTGTGCGTGTGTTTGTATGTGTCTGCGTGTTTGTGTGTGCGTGTGTTTGTATGTGTCTGCGTGTTTGTGTGTGCGTGTGTTTGCATGTGTCTGCGTGTTTGTGTGTGCGTGTGTCTGTTAGTGTCTGCGTGTTTGTGTGTGCGTGTGTTTGCATGTGTCTGCGTGTTTGTGTGTGCGTGTGTCTGTTAGTGTCTGCGTGTTTGTGTGTGCGTGTGTTTGCATGTGTCTGCGTGTTTGTGTGTGCGTGTGTCTGTTAGTGTCTGCGTGTTTGTGTGTGCGTGTGTTTGCATGTGTCTGTGTGTTTGTGTGTGTGTCTGTGTGTTTGTGTGTGTCTGTGTGTCTGTATGTGCCTGCGTGTTTGTGTCTGCCTGCGTGTTTGTGTGTGCCTGCGTGTTTGTATGTGTGTGTCTGTGTTTGTGTGTGTCTGCGTGTATGTATGTGTCTGCGTGTTTGTGTGTGCCTGCGTGTTTGTGTGTGCGCGTGTTTGTATGTGTGTGTCTGTGTGTTTGTGTGTGTCTGCGTGTCTGTATGTGCCTGCGTGTTTGTGTGTCCGCGTGTTTGTGTGTCCGCGTGTTTGTGTCCGCGTGTTTGTGTGTCTGTGTGTATGTGTGTGTGCGTGTTTGTGTGTGTGTGTCTGTGTGTTTGTGTGTGTCTGCGTGTCTGTATGTGCCTGCGTGTTTGTGTGTCCGCGTGTTTGTGTCCGCGTGTTTGTGTGTGTCTGTGTGTATGTGTGTGCGTGTGTTTGTATGTGTCTGCGTGTTTGTGTGTGCGTGTGTCTGTATGTATGTGTCTGCGTGTTTGTGTGTGCGTGTGTTTGTATGTGTCTGCGTGTTTGTGTGTGCGCGTGTTTGTATGTGTGTGTCTGTGTGTTTGTGTGTGTGTGCGTGTCTGTATGTGCCTGCGTGTTTGTGTGTCCGCGTGTTTGTGTCCGCGTGTTTGTGTGTGTCTGTGTGTATGTGTGTGCGCGTGTTTGTGTGTGTCTGTGTGTATGTGTGTGCGCGTGTTTGTGTGTGTATGTCTGCGTGTCTGTATGTGCCTGCGTGTTTGTATGTGTCTGCGTGTCTGTATGTGCCTGCGTGTTTGTATGTGTCTGCGTGTCTGTATATGTCTGCGTGTCTGTATGTGCCTGCGTGTTTGTGTGTCCGCGTGTTTGTGTCCGCGTGTTTGTGGGTGTCTGTGTGTGTGTGTGTTTGTCGCGGTTCGATTCCCACTCACGACCAACATCGGTGACGATTATCTGAACCGGTCCTGGGCCTCCCCTAGTGCCACTCAGCCTCAAATGAGTACCTGGTGCCATGCGTAATAAACATCGCCACAAGGGAGACAAAGGTGGTCCGGCGTGGTGCTGGCCACCCACCCCCCCGTGTGCCGTTCTGGCCTTTATAGGTGCTATTCGCTAACAGCACTTGCCCCAACAGTCTGTTAAGGCTATACGGTAGGGCTGAACGATTAATCGATTTCAAATGGAAATGGAAATGTTTAACAATGCGATTAGCAAATCGCAAAGGCTGCGATTTTTTGCGATTTGAAAAGTCCTATTACTTTCTGATTGGAATTGTTTTATGTTTTATTATTATAACTTTATTTATTTAACTTAACAATTGTTCTATGTTTGATTGTTCTAGTTCAATTAAAACATTTTAATGAATACATGTTAGAAGCAAATCATATCTTTTAAGTTCTCATCCTTGCATTATATAATATAGAGCATATTTTGATGGTATCATGTGGTAACGCTCCATCACATGTTTTAAAACCTATTACACAGTGAATATTGAAAAAAAAAATGTAATCGCAAATCAAATTGCAATCGCAATATCTATCAGAAAAATCGCAATTAGATATTTTCCCCAAATCGTTGAGCCCCACTATACGGGGGGGTTTCTGTGTCTCTGTGTGTGTGTGTGTGTCCGCGTGCGCTCGGGATGCCACAATGCCCCGCGGGCCACCAAGCACGGAGCGGCCCTCCTACTTGAGGTTCTGCTCCAGGCGCTTGGTGTCGATGTCGGACAGGAGGCGCCCGACGACGTCGCTGTCAAAGTCGCGGCCGTACTCGGCCAGCCAGGCGGGCGCCGTGTTCGTCTCCGCCTTGGGGATGGCGAAGTGTCCCAGCAGCATGCCGACCGTGAGACACAGGGCCCCCGCGGCCACCCCCACCAACGCCACCGTCCAGCTCCCGGGCATTGTCCGCCGAGGCCTGACTGCTGCCGTGTGCCGGCCGCTCGCCCCTTTTTGACGGCTCGGTTTCTCGTTTGACCTGAGACTGCCCATTTTGTGATGAGCAGGCGATTCCATAACCACCTTTGGATCTTCCTAATCGTTGACGCGTCTTTATTATTTGACGACCCTACGTTTATGGCGAGGAAAGCATTTTTTATGGCAATCAGGATACAAAGTTTGTTTTAGGGCTTGGTCATGAACTGTGTGAAAACCTCGCTCGCTGCTCGTCGCCCAGGGTGCTTGAGGCCCGCGCGTCGTGAACCCGGCCAAGCGCCGCTGGTGGGACACGAGACATCTGGCGGAGTGCTCCTCCAAAGGCCCCCAAGGGTCGTGTCGCTCTTCGCTTGTTCTTGACATGAACCTTCACGGAACACATTTGGGGCATTGAGACGCTCTCGTGTTAACTGCTCGGCGCATTCATTCGACGTGTTGACGCCAGACCCTGCATCCACGGGTGAACAGAAGGAAGAGCTGTAATTAAGAATCGTTGGCTGATGCTGACATAGATCAAACACACGCACAAAGGGGGCTCTGAGGGTGTGGTTTTGAGGGCGCTTATGGGGTCTGGAGGGTTGATTGTGTATGTTGAACGTCTTTCTCACCGTACGTAGCCAACCGTGCTAAACGGAGGTGCGGGGTAAGGACAACAAACTAAACACAAAACGCTGTTCTAAAGAAATTCGTTTTCCATCTACATTTAAAAGTGCATAGATCCAGTGGCTTCCTAATATCGGAAGGAAGAGCGTTCCAGACGGCCGCAGAAGCGCATCTGGAAGTGCGCAATGCAGCGACCATCTTTGTTCGATGGTTAGAGAGGAGCAAAAGGGTCCAGAGTTCAGGCTGGGAGCAGGCTGGGAGCAGGCTGGGAGCAGGTTAGGGCAGGCTGGTAGCAGGCTGGGAGCAGGCTAGAGCAGGCTGGGAGCAGGTTAGACAGGCTGGGAGCAGGCTGGAGCAGGCTGGGAGCAGGCTGGGAGCAGGGTGGGAGCAGGCTGGAGCAGGCTGTGAGCAGGCTGGGAGCAGGCTGGGAGCAGGTTAGAGCAGGCTGTAAGCAGGCTGGGAGCAGATTCGAGCAGGCTGGGAGCTGGTTGGGAGCAGGCTGTGAGCAGGCTGTGAGCAGGCTGGAGCAGGTTGGGAGCAGGCTGGGAGCAGGTTAGAGCAGGCTGGGAGCAGGCTGTGAGCAGGCTGGGAGCAGGCTGTGAGCAGGCTGGGAGCAGGCTGGAGAAGGCTGGGAGCAGGGTGGGAGCAGGCTGGGAGCAGGTTAGAGCAGGCTGGGAGCAGGGTGGGCTCAGGCTGGAGCAGGCTGGGAGCAGGCTGGGAGCAGGGTGGGCTCAGGCTGGAGCAAGCTGGGAGCAGGCTGGAGCAGGCTGGGAGCAGGCTGGGAGCAGGCTGGGAGCAGGGTGGGAGCAGGCTGGGAGCAGGCTGGGAGTAGCCTGGCTGCCCCGCAAGACAAACCGATCTGGAACCGCACCTGTTTCTTTTGTCATTCAATCGACTCATGGTGTCCCTTGGAGCTGGAAAAGTGAGTCGCCTCCATCTGTAACCATTGGTTTCACAGTCAATTCCAACCGTGGGCATCAATTTATACGTTCGCCTTGGCCTTCATTCACCCCAAGTTACCGATGGTTCCGGGCACATCTAAGTGGAACGTGTTTACCCCTCTGGTGCTTCTTGTAAGTCGTGACTGTAACTTGTAACATCGGCTGCCTCTGATGTGAGTTTGAATTTACATAGCTAGATATTTTTTTTTGATGGCGATTGCTTGTGTTGCGATCGAAACGTCGTGATATTTTTATTATTATGTTTATATCTACGTGGCTTTACCGAAAGACCCAAAGAATATGAATTCCTGCAGTCACGAAAGCTTTAAGGCAATCCTTTTGTGGTTTAGACGAAGGTATCTCCATGCCATGTGCATTGTTTAACCGTGGTGGCAATGGTCGAGTGGGTTTCAGAACGGATCTGCACCACAAAGCCCCATTACATGCAGGAAAATAACTTTGATCGTAAAGCGATTCTTTCAATGAGCTTTGATATTAGTGAACTCAACAAATTTGAATCATTTCAGCCGTGGAAATTCCTTTCAACGAAGGCCCCATGTATCTATATGGCTACACCGATTTGTCCACAAATTAAGCGTAGCGTGCCCTTAACGGATCTCGGGACCTTTCCCTTTGTTTACATTGGAAAACGCGAATGTGTGTTCAGGCAGGCGATTGCGCTCGGCACGCTTGCCTTCGTCGGTCATGAAGGTCGTCCACTTCAGAGCCGCCCATCATTTATTCCGCTGCCTGAGTACAGCAGTATGCATTTCCTCTCCTGCCGCTAATTACTCTTAATTCACGGCCACGAACATCCACGCTCATTCAGGCTTTTGTGACACTATTAGGTGCTGGGCGTGACGCGGAGAGCCCACCGCTGTCTAGTCTGTACCTTTATGAATTAGCCGTAATCGAGGATTGCTTTTCTAGTAATGTCAATAATTAGCTCTGCTGTAGTGTCAGCCTCGTTAAACATCCCCGTGGGTTTTTAATCAGGTTTTCGTGTGGTGTGCAATTTCCGCATTGGGGTTGTTTCCTTCAACACAGCGCTCAGCAGACATATGACTCGCTGGGAGTTACTTAATTATACCCTGGTCTGATGATCAGGAATCAGCAGTGCACATTAGCCACAGACGTGTGGCTCTCAGCTCGTGTCTCCCGGGGACCCCATTCTGTGCGGTCCGTGGTGCCAACAGCTGGGCATAAGGTGGCTTCACACGAGTTTTTGAGGTCTACCTGTGATCGAGCGTTTGCCTTGTCCGCGTGGCTCCTGAGTCAGAGACAGTGGCGATTTAATGCATCTGGACAAGCAAAGGTATGCCCTCTGTGAGTCATGCGCAGAAGATTTGTGTAAGTATGTGCTGCTATCCCGTTTTAAGCCGCACCCCAAATTGTAGCTTTGCTGAGATAATGTATTCTCTTCAGAGGCCGTGGTCATGCAGACACTGCTTTATTGAGAGAGCCTCGAAGGGGATGCCTCTCGTGGCATCACAGCCGCTCGACTGCCGGCTTTAATCACAGCTTTCTTCAACAGCTCTTCTTATTCCTGGCGGCGGGGCATGCAGGTGCCAGTATCCGGGCAGCAGCGCTTCATGCCGATGCCTGCCTAATTACACCGGGCGAGAGAACCCCATCACACCCTGAACATTGGCTGCCACCCTAGGTGGCGGTTCACCAGACTCGCTGAGCATCGACTACACGCGGCACGTGATCGGCCCGCCCGCACCAGCTGGAGTGTCGATGCCGCTGTGGGCCGCGATATCGCAGCTGGTGGACTTGGGCTGAGCTGGGTATTGGCCGCACCAATGACGCCAAAGGCAGCGGTGACAGCGGCTTCACTTGGCACGCCGTGGCCCTAAGTGACACATCATCAGAAGGACTCTGCTTCGTTTGAACAGTGATCACATTCGCACGACATCCCTGACAGAATTGCAGTTATTTGTGCACCACAGTGCCTTGCCTCACCCCCTCCCTTCTGCACCCCAACCTCTCACTGCTTTCTACCTCTCCCCATCTCCCTCCATCCCCCTCCATCCTCCCCAACTCCCCTCCCCCCTTCTCTCCCTCCCCCCCCCCTCCACTCCCACATCCTCCCCCTCTGCTCTCCATCTCCTCCTCCATAGCAACGGAGTAACGCGTGCTTTGCAGAACCATAATCGTGCGCTCCGACTCGCCGCTGCATCCCAAGGGGGATCGCAGAGAAGAGACGCTCACAAACCCCTCTGTCGGATCCCTCACGATGCCGCTCGCTGCCGCCACGGCGCTCTCGCTGCGCGCCGGGTCCTCGGAGCCGCGAGCCTCGGCGAGGCTCCCGGCGCCACCGCTGTGACCGATTCAGTGATCGCCTCGCCGGATGACTCTCCTCCTCCTTTGCCACTCTTCACCCATCTGCCGGCCCGGAGACACCGACCCTGAGCTAGCGATTCCGCCCACTGGAAGTAAGTGCAGCCCCCCCCCTTTCCCCCCCCCCCCCCCCGGCGCCACTGCGGTGCTCGCGTGGAGGTTTGGTGTCACCGTCCACCACGTGGTTGTGCGCTGCCGGCGAGAGAACGCTCCCGGGGATGTTTCTGAATGTCGCGGGAAAGCTGTACACATTTTTTTGGGGGGGTTTTGTTGCCAACGAAGCGGCAGTGACACTGGAGCATCGTCGTGCAATTACGGGCGGTGTGCTTTGTCGTGTCGGTTGACCACGATGTAATTTCGCGTGTGTTCATTGCATGCATATCAGGTGGCGGATCTGCACCATGTCATTGCATAAAGCCGTATGCTGATGGGCGTTAAATTGTGTGTACGTGGTTGCATGGCTACACTCTCTTTGCTCCGAGCATGCCGGAGGTATTGGTCGCTTAACGCAGCCGCGCACGAGAAGGGAGATGAGAGACGAGCGTTCACTGAGCTCTGAGCCCTGCGTGTGTAAAGGAGAAGAGGGCGCGATGGAATGGGTCTCGTCGGGGCTGTGGTTAGCGGTGACCCGGTCACGTCGGCTCGAAACACCCGGACTGCAGCAGAGCCGTGCCAATTAGAGGCAGAGCTGTAGCTCATGGTACCTGCCTTTCGGGGACACGTGTGCCAGTGCTAATCAGCACACTGTGTCATGTAATGGGGGCTGGTGGATGACACTGCTGAGAGCATTGGACAGATTGCTCAGATTGCTCAGTTCGCTGCTTGGCCATTTAAGCCGCCCACAACCACAGCTTCCGCTCCGCATCGCGAGAGCAAAACCCAGTTAAGCCCTTTCGGTTGCCCGATGCATTTGTGAACGTGATCCAAAACATCTGATTGGGCAGAGTTCGATTGCAATGATGTTGCTGTAACTCATAAGGTCTAAATATAGATTGAAATGTCCTAATCAGCGCAAGTGCATTGGCGTGCTCTGAGCCGTCAACAAGACGGATCGCATCAATGATGCTTCTGACGATACATTATGCATTAATGTCACGATTTAAAAACAAGCGTGTAAGAAAACTCCCCAGTATATTATTAATATACCGGAAATGTTGTCAAGTCCAGTAATTTTTTGTTAAAAATTAAACACGTGGCAAAGACCAGCCACCCAACGCGCCGCCGACACCGAGGACACGTACAACGCAAGGGATTTTAGTGACCCCACAGGAGCCCACGGCGGACGCACCCAGCAGAACCGAGTCCTCCTGTCACCTCGCCGCTCTCTGCCACTGACCCCCCCCCCGTGCCAGTGGAGGTCCCATCATGCAGCAGGGCGGCCCCTCGCCTCTCCATCGACTCTCGCGTGACGGTGCTGACCGCGGGCGAGGATGCGGCGGACGGCGGCAGATTGGGCGGCTCCGTGATGAAGCGCAAGACGGTGCTGGCCGTGTTTTTGGTGGTGCTCGCGTACCTGGTGCTGGGCGGGGTATTGTTCCGCGCTCTGGAGCAGCCGTTCGAGAGCAGCCAGCAGTCGACCGTGGCGGCCGCCAAGGCGACCTTCTTGAGCCGCCACGGCTGCGTGCCGCCCCACGAGCTGGAGGTGCTCATACAGGTGGCGCGAGCGAGCGGGCGAGCAGCTGCACGTTCACCACCACCACCGCCGCCGCCGCTGCCACCAACAGCTTCACCGCCACCAATAGCTCCGTCACCCCAGCAGCGCCACCACCGACAACAGCTCCACCATCGGCACAACCGGCATCTTCGCCCCTACCACCTCCTACGCCACCACTACCACCACCGCCATGTGCATCTTGACTACTGCCTCTACCACTGTCGCCTCCACCACCACTACCTTCATCTCCTCTGTCGCCACCTACATATACCCACGTTCACAGCCTCGCGCAAGTCACACGGCCGATCTTTGTGTCATCCGTACTGTAATTCTGTGCAGTGGCACGTGCGTCACAAGCCGATGTATTGTGCGATTATGAAGGAGCCTAGAGTTTGGAGTGAAGAGCGTGACATTTACCCAGGCCCCTTTCCCTTATCCCCAACAGCAAATCTCAGACGCCATCAAGGTTGGGGTCAACCCCATTGGCAATGCTTCCAAGAAATCGAGCCACTGGGACCTGGGAGGAGCTTTTTTCTTTTCGGGAACCGTCATCACGACCATCGGTACTGCCCGTTTTGTCAGCTCCATCGTTGCGTTAGCACCGACGGTCATCGCCATCCTTCCTTGTGCCACTGCCATCTGTGCCTCACTACATACCGGCAATGAATACCGTCCACGTTTCGTGACTGACATTGTGTGTGTGTGTGTGTGTTTCACAATCGGCGTGTCACCACCGACTTTATGTCACTGTTATCTGCGCGTCACTGACATATTGGGTGCTGTCTTAGGTCGCAGCAGTGAAAACCGCCCTGTTCGAGATTGTGATACCCAAGATAAAGACAATGGAGCTGGGTCTATGTTTATAGACACACACAGTGTATATGTGGGGAGTGGTAGTGGAACGGTTAGTACCTTGCACTATGAACCCGGCGACCCGAGATCGATTCCCGTTCACTGCGAACACCAGTGACAATCATCTCAACCGGTCCTGGGCCTCTCCTATGTCGACTCAGCCTCAAATGAGTACCTGATGCAGTGCATGAACAATGCCACTTGGGAGACAAAGGCAGCCGAGCGTGGTGCTGGCCACCCACCCCCTCGTGTGCCGTGCTGGCCTTCATAGATGCTCGCGAATAGCACTTGACCCAAAAAGGTTGTTAAGGCTATACGGAGGATCTTTGTCTCTTATAGACAGTGTAGGTGTGTGTATATCTGTATAGACATTGTACATGTGTATACAAGTGGAGATGGTGTATGTGTGTATGGAAACACAGTGCAGGCCATAATAGAGGTTTTTGGGTTCAATCGCGTAAATATAAATGTGTTGTTAGTAAGATTTGTCTCGTAAACAAAACATGCCAATTCCTTACCAGTTCGGCACACCGGTGTGTTGGAGAGTAAACCCACAACATTTACAATCCGAGTACGACGTTTCGCCAGCCATTACAACTGGCATCATCAGGCGGAACAGCCAGAGTTGTGGAACCTCCTCCTCCTCCTGCATCAGTGCAGGCGTGCATACACGTGCGTCGGCGTTCCACGGTGGTGCTGTCTGTGCATAGGCACACAGTGGCGTGTGTTGTGTCCGCGCCTGTTTCTCGTGATCGCGTGCTGAATGCCGGAGAGCAGATTGCCTGTGGCCTTCGGGCGATCTGAAGGGGGGGGGGGGGGGGGGGGGGGGGTGGGGGGGGGGAAGGGGCGATGCTGGGGGTTAAGTGGGGAGTCGGGGCGAGCGGATGGGATTCTCGGTTCCACACGTTTAGGGTTGCATGCCTGAGGTGGCAGCGGGGTCAGGGGGCTCGTCCGGAGCGTGAATGAGGAACCGGTGCAGGTGAGGAGGTTTGGGGATGGGGGTGCGAGAGACAGCGGCGCGGGGGGAGTGATGGTGGGGGGGGGGGGGGGCTCGAGATTCCGTTTGTGGTGGGGGAGCTCCAGATTCGCCGTCCCCAAACGGAGCAATTCCACCACAGATGGATGACGCTTTAGCACGAAATGTCTATACGGCAGTCTCCAATCGAACGGCGCGTATGTTCCTTATTGCTTTATCTCATATTTATATTGACATGAATGCTCCCAGATAACTAATTATGCGGTTTAATGCCATTATTCTAGCCGCCGCGATAGAGGTTTGTCCATCACATTCATAATTTCTCCTTAGAGATGCATGGCGTGCTAATGAGAGTCGGACACCGTCTTTGTGTTTAAGTGGATCATTGCGGAGAGATGACAACACACTTCTCTGCAACACTCATCACAAGCACCGCTTCACAAATATACTCTTGTCGGATAATGTTTGCTCCATCGGTTCAACACAAAGAGCTTTCCATTTTCCGAGACAAATCCCCGAGTTTGCCGCTGGGACACACAGAGCAGCCTCGCGTACGGGCATGATGGCACATGCCCTGCAACCTCGCGTTTTGGAGATAGGCGTCAATGGAGTACGTCGGTTTGTTATACTAATTTAACAAATCCACTGGCTTGCAAGGTGGCAAGGCCAATGCAGTACAGCAAATCCGTTCGTGAATCCGTCTGTGAGGATTTTTGAGACGTGTATGTGAGTTTTCTCCCAGTGCTGAGGCCACCTTCCGTGTGCTAACACTGCTCAAAAAGAAATTGGTCAAACATCCCAAACACAGGGACCCTCCTTCAATTGCTCTTTGCTATGCAGACTTTCACACACACCCGCGTCCCATCACCGTGACTGGCCCATACTAGCGATGGCCCTGTCACCCTGGCCTGTGCAGGGTTCGGGAACATCGCTCCAAGCACACAGGGAGGCCGCATCCTGTGCATGGCCTATGCGCTCATCGGCATCCCTCTCTTCGGCATTCTTCTCGCCGGGGTGGGGGACCAGCTGGGCACCATCTTCGGCAAAGGCATCGCCAACATTGAGAAGATATTTGTGGTACGCAAGGGCAGCACTGGGGCAGCACTGTGGCTTATGGTGGTGGTGGTGGTAGTGTAGCTGTCAGTGTGTTGCGCTACGAACCACCACAGTGACGATTATCTGAATCGGTCCTGGGAGTCTCAAATGAGTACCTGGTGCGGTGTGTAAACGTCGCCACTCGGGAGACAAATGCGGCCGAACGTGGTGCTGGCCACCCACCCCTTCGTGTGCCATGCCGGCCTTCACAGATCCTCGCTAACAGCACTTTCCCCAACAGACTTAAGGCTACACGCGGTGTCTTTGTTATAGTGGTGGTCATGTAAAATGTAAACGATACTATTTTGTGACAATAACAAACATCAACTACAGCAACGCATTCACAAGGTCCGACAAGTTGTGCGAATGCAAATTTGGCCCACAATAGTTTAATACTGGCGACACATTTTGTACCCATTGACCCTCTCTTTGTTCGATGGCGAATGCATATAACGCTGCACGCCTTTGGATGCGTCACTTAGAGCCACGTGGATGCCTTTTTTTAACACGGCTGATGACCAGAGTTGAATGCTGCTGCCGTAATTTTGGGAGTTGTGATTATCAGCAGCAGCAGCAGCTCCATTGGGAGGGTGGTAGGAGAAGGAAGAGGGCTGCCCTGGGTGAGCAAATCACACGAGCGTGGCACGTGTTGCTGTCCGCAAGAGCTTAAAGAGAAACAGGAGGGGAACTGGAGGCATTGATTATTCACATTTACCTTAATGAGACGTGCATTGCCTTTAGGGGGAGAGCAGAATCGAAAACTGCACATACAAAATTAAATATACATTGCAGTGAATAAAAAAAACCCCGACATTTCATTATGGATGAGCGTAAGATGAATATATTTGTGGCACTCTCGATAGAAGCGTGAATGCTGCCGAGGGGAGGCTCGGTGCAGCCAGTTTGTAGACTCCCCTGTAATGAGATTCCAAGTTGAGTGGCAGACCCCAGCACCAGGGCAAGGCCCCCCTCCCCAATGCTGCCCGCAGCCCACGATCTCTCCCGGCAGACAGGGAAGAAGGTGTTGCTCCACGAGAAAGGAACATCTCATTCCTTCCTCCACCGCCTACCACAACCAACCATGTTCAGGGACATTAACACGGTGTACAACATTTGAGAGAGAAATCAAAGATTATTTTAAAATGAAGAAATGTTTTTTTAATGAAAAATTGAGTTTGCCGCTGGCGGGTCAACACAGAAATACACGCAGCGTGAGCTCAACATCCCTCTCTTGTTGTCAGTGTGAGCTATGCTCGGCAAACTGATGATGCAGCAGAACATTGATATAATGAACGTGCAGGGAATAAATGAAGGATGAAAATCCGCTCCCACAGTCTCCTATCTGCCTGGCATCTACACAGCCCCATGAACTGCATAGCGCATGCTTGTGCTTAATCAGCGCTCCTCTCTGAAGTGAGACAAAGGGGTAGACTCCGTGGCCCTGAGAGCATGTAGCACCTGGCCATCCACTGGGAGACCTGGAGGCATTGACGCTGCTCGCTGCTGGAGTGTATGTCGCCGACTTGCGACGTCCATAACGGTGCTCTGTTTGTTGCCATCTTGTTTCGCTCTTCTGTTTTGCGCCAGAAGCGGAAGATCAGCCAGACACGAGTTCGTGTCATGTCCACCGTGGTCTTTGTTTGGCCGGCTGCGTGCTGTTTGTGGCCGTGCCAGCTGCCATTTTCATGCGCACCGAGGGTTGGAGCTCCCTTGAGGCCATCTACTTTGTGGTCACCACCCTCACTACCATTGGGTTCGGAGACTTCGTGGCAGGTGAGTGGTGTCGGCTGGTCTGCTCCCTGGGCTCTGGGCGGGTCCGGGTCCCTCGCTGATCATTAACTCGGTTGACCCCCAAGTGTGTGTTGGGTCAGCTTGTGCGATACCGAGGCGGCTTGGCAGTAGGAAGCCACTTCTGAGGATCCAAGCTCTTCCTGCTTAAGCCACCCATGGTGCTGGGCCATGGATGTTGCGCTGAGGTGCACACTGTGTGGATGTGCCGAGATCTGACAGAGATGCCTCTCCGTACATGCAAGCCATTGTCAAGCTGCGCACAAAATCCGAGGACTGTTCTTAAACTCGAAATGTCTGTATCCTACACAATGGCACCAATTATGGCGACAGTTTATTCTTCTTCTTAAATATTTCATAAATTCCTGATCTAACTCGAAAGTCAGCACGTTACCATGCTGCAAGCCTGGTGCGGTGGCTTTGCCTTGTTAAAGTGAGCTGGCTGGAAGCAGGGGTTTTGTCTGCCAGAGATGTGCGTGCACACGTCTTGGGGGACAGAATTTGTCTCGTTGAGAAACCGTGCCTCGGGAGAGCGGCTGCCATTCGACTGCCAGGGCGGGATGGGCACCCCCTTCACAGTCTCCCCGCTGGAGCCGCTCACACAACACACTCAACGCGTAGAAGTGGATCTCTGATAGCGCGCTCCACCCCACCCCCCCGTGCGCTCTGAAGGTTACTTTACTCTTTTAACTCTGCTCCAGTGGCCAAAGGCGCCGCTTTGCACCTGTTGACGGTTATGTAATGGTAGCCTTGCATCACGCATGGCCGGCCAGAGGTGCTTAATGTCGTGCATATTTTACCGCCCCCCCCCACTCAATAACAATAACGTTCTCGATCGTGTTTGAAACGGCAGCGTCACCCGATAAAAAAGACAAACGATTTGACGTGTCCTGCTGTCCTCAAAGAGGCCCGGGACGCATTTGACCCCAATCCCACTGGTGTGATGCCTGGTGCGACTTCCCCCAAACCCCACCCCGAGTGCAGCTGGTTGGTGTTTTATTGATGGGCACTGACTTCAAGCGAAAGCCATCATGTTGCTTTATACTACGCAGTTGGTTTAGTAAATATCGTCCATGTCCCGTTTTGTCTATATGTCTGTTGAACTTCTTTCTTACCGTACGTCGCCAACTGTATTCATCGGAGGTGCGGGGGAAGGACGACAAACTAAACACAAAAATCAGTTCGAAGAAATTAGTTTTCAATCGAGATGACGATTTGATAGTGCACAGCTCCAGTGGCTTCCTCGTGACGGAAGGAAGAGCGTTCCAGACGGCCGCAGACGCGCATCTGAAAGCGCGCGATGCAGTGGGCCGTCTTTGTTCGATGACCAGCCTTTGAAAACTTTGCGAAAGGTGATAACATTTTCAGTCAGGGGTTCCACCAATGATCTTCTCAACCCTTTCCAACCAAGGGTGGAAGTGTTTCCGATGCGTCGACTCGGTCCGTTCGTCGGACTGTCCATCCATACACGGTGGGGGGAGTGGGGGTATGCCATCTCTCATAAAATGCATTCAATATGAAGCCAATCGTTGGTATAAAGTTGTGTCGCTATTAGGGACTTAACCATTTTGAAAAATAGCTACGTCGATCAGACGGTTGCCCATAATAAAGGTTTTTGGGTTAGATCGCGTTATTTATAAATGTGTCGTAACCCTCCACCACCCGACACGGCCAATCAGCAAAAAAAGTGTCACGTTGACAAAAGACAAATAATTCACTACTTTAGCCAACCGGTGTGTTGAAGAGTGAATCCACAACATTTACAGTTTGAGTACGACGTTTCGCTGGTAAATACATCCAGCATCATCGGGCAATTCGCCAGAATGGTAAAGCCCTCGCTTGCTCCCGGTTTTATATAGAGCAGCAGGGTGACGTCATCATTGAACTGATATCAGGTTGCCGACAACCTAAAGAGTTACAACGCCGCATTGAAGGGTCCCGCCCCGGCATCCCGGCTGAGGCTCACCTTCCCGGGCAGAGCGACTATCCGAGCCCAGCGGTCTCATCGCGGCCTATGGATGCGCCGCTTCTTTCCCCGCGCAGTCTTGGCACCATTATTACCGCTGATCTTAAATACTTACGAGGGCCAACTCCGTTTCGAAAAGGGTCGCACGGCCACCCGGCTTCGCTGTCATACTTGCCGATCAACGTTTCAAACGTCGGCACAGGCGTCGAGGTCCATAGCCGCGAAGGCACGTAGCGATGGCTCCCTGCTCGAGGTGCCCAGGGGAGAGAGATGTAAAGTTGTCCCGCGGCGTGCTTTGTCGGCCTGCCTCTGCCACCCACCATCGTCGCCTGCCAACTCGCCCGTGCCGCGGGTGCCGCCTGCGCTGGAACGCCAGCGGCAACGAAGGGCTCCCTCGCCATTGCGCGGTGCCCATCTGAGCGTGGGGATGTGACATTGAGACGTCTATGGAGCCCGGTGTCGGCCGCATCGCCCGAGCACCGAGCCTCCGATCTCCTGAGATCATCCATAATAGGGGAGGGTTGGGTTAGATCGCCTAAATATCTAAATGTGTCGTTAAAACCCGCCACCACCCGACGCAGCCAACTAGTAAGGGTTGTCACGTTAACAGAACGTGGCCAATTCGTCACTAGTACAGCACTAGTGTGTAGTGTAGTGTATAGTAGTGTAGTATACTAGTACAGCACACCGGTGTGTGTTGGAGAGCAAAGCCACAACATTTACAATCCGAGTACGACGTTTCGCCAGTAATGACAACCAGCTTCATCATTAGACCTCCTTTGCCAGTACCAAAATGTAATAATAGGGTTTTTCCCCTTTTTTCTGGCAACAAAACTGAAACCTTTTTTACAAGGATTCATGTCTGCATTAACCACAATACCTGCAGTCAAAATGCAAACAAAAAACATTCTATGATAATATATGCATTGTCCTTGAAACTGATTGGTCCACACCAAGGGACGGCATCTACATCTCATCCCGAGCCCTCGTTACTTTGATAGTGCATTGTCTTTGAGCTGTACGCCTTCTGGCGTCATCTGGTCAAGCACCAATTGGGTCGAGGCTCAAAAGAAAGCCGTCCCTTGGTGTGGACCAATCAGTTTCAAGGACAATGCATATATTATCATAATATGTTTTTTGTTTGCATTTTGACTGCAGGTATTGTGGTTAATGCAGACATGAATCCTTGTAAAAAGGTTTCAGTTTTGTTGCCAGAATAAAGGGGGAAAACCCTATTATTACAACCAACTTCATCAGGCGACACAGCCAGATTTGTGGAGAAGTCCACCCGTTTCCCGACAAATGTTTGCCCAGAGGATGGTGGTGGGTCCAGGTTGGCGTGAGGGTGAGAGCCCTTCTCCCCAGCATCGGCACAAGGAGTCACACGTATGGGCCCGTGAAGCATTCAAACGGGCGACATCATGTGGATGCTGACAAGGGATCGACCGAGCCTTTTTTTTTTCGTTTTTAAGGCAGCAAAGGTTATTCACTACCAGGGCATGGAAACATGGCAAAGGTGCCGTTGGGGGCTGTGTGGCAGCCGTGAAAGATGCGGTGTTTTTCATGGCACCTGTGGGAACAGATTGTGATGACCTTGCGTGTAAATGTCCCACCAGCGGTCCTCAGTGGGGACAGGACAATGCTTAAAATAAAAATAAAAAAATCACTTAAGGTGATTACATTTACTGGAAAAACGCAAGTGTATTGTTCGCAACACATCCATGCTTCCTGTAACATCTGAAGCTGTCACTTTTTTGTGCCATAAACAGAAATTACCGGCCACCTTAGCCTCCAAAAGTCATAGATCATTCCCCAATGCGTGTATTCAATTGCACGCAAAAAAGTTGCCTAAAAATGTTAATATGCTGAGTGCATTCATTCCAACATTCGGTGCGATGTTGTGTATTTTGAATTCCACCACACTTTACTGCCCCCGTCTGTACACGGTATGAGGATAGTGACGCATTCTTTCCACACGCTGTTGATTTATCCTTTTGGCTGTGCAAAGCGTAGCACCGGTGTCAAACGCAGGCGATGTCGGGCCTCCCCATCAATAATTAAACACTATCACATTGGAATCCCACGTAATATCTTAAAATGTGTCGCATTTTGATTCATTTCACGTGTGTGCGCGCTTAGTAATTGATGAATTCTAATTTGATATTGCGGTATTGCGAGGTGTAGTGTGTAGTGGGGGAGAGTTGCTGGTTCAGTAATCATGAGCCATTCTGTCTCAGCAAATAATTAAGAGCCATCTATTATCAGCCATAAAAGCACAGTGTGTTCAGCCATGCCGGCTTCGCTACCAGGGTGGTGGGAAGGGACTGTGGTGAGAGCCCTGTTGTGGTGAGAGCCCTGACTGTTGTGGTGAGAGCCCTGACTGTTGTGGTGAGAGCCCTGTTGTGGTGAGAGCCCTGTTGTGGTGAGAGCCCTGTCTGTTGTGGTGAGAGCGCTGTCTGTTGTGGTGAGAGCCCTGTTGTGGTGAGAGCCCTGACTGTTGTGGTGAGAGCCCTGACTGTTGTGGTGAGAGCCCTGACTGTTGTGGTGAGAGCCCTGTTGTGGTGAGAGCCCTGTTGTGGTGAGAGCCCTGACTGTTGTGGTGAGAGCCCTGACTGTTGTGGTGAGAGCCCTGACTGTTGTGGTGAGAGCCCTGTTGTGGTGAGAGCCCTGTTGTGGTGAGAGCCCTGACTGTTGTGGTGAGAGCCCTGTCTGTTGTGGTGAGAGCGCTGTCTGTTGTGGTGAGAGCCCTGTTGTGGTGAGAGCCCTGACTGTTGTGGTGAGAGCCTTGACTGTTGTGGTGAGAGCCCTGACTGTTGTGGTGAGAGCCTTGACTGTTGTGGTGAGAGCCCTGACTGTTGTGGTGAGAGCCCTGTTGTGGTGAGAGCCCTGACTGTTGTGGTGAGAGCCCTGACTGTTGTGGTGAGAGCCTTGACTGTTGTGGTGAGAGCCTTGACTGTTGTGGTGAGAGCCCTGACTGTTGTGGTGAGAGCCCTGTTGTGGTGAGAGCCCTGTCTGTTGTGGTGAGAGCGCTGTCTGTTGTGGTGAGAGCCCTGTTGTGGTGAGAGCCCTGTCTGTTGTGGTGAGAGCGCTGTCTGTTGTGGTGAGAGCCCTGTTGTGGTGAGAGCCCTGACTGTTGTGGTGAGAGCCCTGACTGTTGTGGTGAGAGCCCTGTTGTGGTGAGAGCCCTGACTGTTGTGGTGAGAGCCCTGACTGTTGTGGTGAGAGCCCTGTCTGTTGTGGTGAGCGCCCTGACTGTTGTGGTGAGAGCCCTGACTGTTGTGGTGAGAGCCCTGACTGTTGTGGTGAGAGCCCTGACTGTTGTGGTGAGAGCCCTGACTGGTGAGAGCCCTGTTGTGGTGAGAGCCCTGTTGTGGTGAGAGCCCTGTCAGTTGTGGTGAGAGCCCTGTTGTGGTGAGAGCCCTGACTGTTGTGGTGAGAGCCCTGACTGTTGTGGTGAGAGCCCTGACTGTTGTGGTGAGAGCCCTGACTGTTGTGGTGAGAGCCCTGACTGTTGTGGTGAGAGCCCTGTTGTGGTGAGAGCCCTGACTGTTGTGGTGAGAGCCCTGACTGTTGTGGTGAGAGCCCTGTTGTGGTGAGAGCCCTGTTGTGGTGAGAGCCCTGTCTGTTGTGGTGAGAGCCCTGACTGTTGTGGTGAGAGCCCTGTTGTGGTGAGAGCCCTGACTGTTGTGGTGAGAGCCCTGTCTGTTGTGGTGAGAGCCCTGTTGTGGTGAGAGCCCTGACTGTTGTGGTGAGAGCCCTGACTGTTGTGGTGAGAGCCCTGACTGTTGTGGGTGAGAGCCCTGGACTGTTGTGGTGAGAGCCCTGACTGTTGTGGTGAGAGCCCTGACTGGTGAGAGCCCTGTTGTGGTGAGAGCCCTGACTGTTGTGGTGAGAGCCCTGACTGTTGTGGTGAGAGCCCTGACTGTTGTGGTGAGGGCCCTGTTGTGGTGAGAGCCCTGACTGTTGTGGTGAGAGCCCTGTTGTGGTGAGAGCCCTGTCTGTTGTGGTGAGAGCCCTGACTGTTGTGGTGAGAGCCCTGATTGTTGTGGTGAGAGCCCTGTTGTGGTGAGAGCCCTGTCTGTTGTGGTGAGAGCCCTGACTGTTGTGGTGAGAGCCCTGTTGTGGTGAGAGCCCTGTCTGTTGTGGTGAGAGCCTTGACTGTTGTGGTGAGAGCCCTGTCTGTTGTGGTGAGAGCCCTGTTGTGGTGAGAGCCCTGTTGTGGTGAGAGCCCTGACTGTTGTGGTGAGAGCCCTGACTGTTGTGGTGAGAGCCCTGACAGGTGAGAGCCCTGACTGTTGTGGTGAGAGCCCTGACTCTTGTGGTGAGAGCGCTGACTGTTGTGGTGAGAGCCCTGACTGTTGTGGTGAGAGCCCTGACTGTTGTGGTGAGAGCCCTGTTGTGGTGAGAACCCTGACTGTTGTGGTGAGAGCCCTGACTGTTGTGGTGAGAGCCCTGTTGTGGTGAGAGCCCTGACTGTTGTGGTGAGAGCCCTGACTGGTGAGAGCCCTGTTGTGGTGAGAGCACTGACTGTTGTGGTGAGAGCCCTGACTGTTGTGGTGAGAGCCCTGACTGTTGTGGTGAGAGCCCTGACTGTTGTGGTGAGAGCCCTGACTGTTGTGGTGAGAGTCCTGACTGTTGTGGTGAGAGCCCTGACTGTTGTGGTGAGGGCCCTGACTGTTGTGGTGAGAGCCCTGACTGTTGTGGTGAGAGCCCTGACTGTTGCGGTGAGAGACCCTGACTGTTGTGGTGAGAGCCCTGTTGTGGTGAGAGCCCTGACTGTTGTGGTGAGAGCCCTGACTGTTGTGGTGAGAGCCCTGACTGTTGTGGTGAGAACCCTGACCGTTGTGGTGAGAGCCCTGTTGTGGTGAGAGCCCTGACTGTTGTGGTGAGAGCCCTGACTGTTGTGGTGAGAGCCCTGACTGTTGTGGTGAGAGCCCTGACTGTTGTGGTGAGAGCCCTGACTGTTGTGGTGAGAACCCTGACTGTTGTGGTGAGAGCCCTGACTGTTGTGGTGAGAGCCCTGAATGTTGTGGTGAGAGCCCTGACTGGTGAGAGCCCTGTTGTGGTGAGAGCCGTGACTGTTGTGGTGAGAGCCCTGTTGTGGTGAGAACCCTGTTGTGGTGAGAACCCTGACTGTTGTGGTGAGAGCCCTGTTGTGGTGAGAGCCCTGACTGTTGTGGTGAGTGCCCTGACTGTTGCGGTGAGAGCCCTGTTGTGGTGAGAGCCCTGTTGTGGTGAGAGCCCTGACTGTTGTGGTGCGAGCCCTGACTGTTGTGGTGAGAGCCCTGTTGTGATGAGAACCCTGACTGTTGTGGTGAGAGCCCTGACTGTTGTGGTGAGAGCCCTGACTGTTGCGGTGAGAGCCCTGTTGTGGTGAGAGCCCTGGCTGTTGTGTGCTGCAGGTGGAGATGCGGACATTGACTACAGTGAGTGGTACAAGCCTCTCGTGTGGTTCTGGATCCTGGTGGGGCTGGCATACTTTGCCGCGGTGCTCAGCATGATCGGATACTGGCTGCACGCTCTCTCGCGGCGCACAAAGAAAGAGGTGAGGGTGGAACGTGGAGCCGGGGGTCGATGAGGGAGTGATGAGGTGGGAGGTGAAGTCAAGATGAGGCCTGGGGGAATATTTCCTTTAATCCGGGAATATTCCTCCTGCCACGGCAAGACCGTGCCTTGTTGCTCGATCCCGGTTTGTCGTGTTGGCCCTGATTTATGGATAATTGCACGCGTTAACGGAGGCACCCATCTTCATGTCCTTGCCCGTTTGACGTGACAATAACGTTTACCGGACGTGATCCTAACACAGGGCACACTGATCAAGAGGGGAATAGCCGGTGACAGGCGCCTGATCTCGGCGCCGTCGGACAAGCTTCGCGGTGTCGTCGCGCTCGTAGCGCCGTCGCTTGGTCCCCGGGAGAGGCTCCGATGGCTTTCTGCAAAGTTGTGCGTGCATCAGGCCAAATGAGCACGGACACCTCTCCTTGTTGCAGCTTGCTCGGACGACAAATGAAAACATTCGTAGATTCTAATCCCGCCTGGGTTCACTCCTCGGCCCTGGGGTTGACGAGAGCCAATTTTTAAACCCATTACAAGCTGCTCCGGAGCAGCTGCACGAGCTGCGGGAGATTGTCGGTGATGGTAGCGCTGTGTGTGGTGGGGCCGGTGGATCAGACAGAAATGCCACTTGCCACCAGATGCTACGGAGAGCTCATTCAGAGCCGGACGCCGTCTCACGGCTGTGTGCGTGTCTCTGTGCACGTGTGTGTGTGCATCTGTGCCTGCGTCGGTATTTTGACGTGCGTCTACGTCAGTATGTGTACGTGTGTGTGTGTGTTGGGGCCTGTGTTTGTGTGTTTGTGGTGGGTGGTGGGTGGGATCCTTGTCTTTGTGTGTGCATGCCCTGCAGGTGGGAGAGTTCACGGCGCAGGCTGCCGAGTGGAAAGCCAGCGTGGCGGCCGAGCTGAAGCAGACGCGCCGTCGGCTGAGCGTGGAGATTCACGAGCGGCTGCAACGAGTGGGCAGCAGCAGCAGCTCACGGCGGCGAGCTAACGACGTACTGCGTCGCCACTCCATGGACGTGCTCACGGCACAGAAGCGCGGCTCCTTCTCGCTCGCCCCCAAGGCCGGCTCCGCCGACGGAATCTCGTCGGCCACGTCGCTCGCCAACGGGCAGGCGATTGGCATCACCCACGGCAACAAGCTTCTGCTGCCAAACGGGCACTGCCTGCCCGGGGCTCGTCTGGAGAAGCGCTACTCCAGGTGGGAGGGCACATGCTCGCACGTATAGCATACACTACAAATATACAGCACATGCCACAGACACCACACACGTGAGCTTATCACACACCACACACACACACCTATAAGGCATCTTGTTCAAATGCAAGATGACTTTGGATATCAAATTGTGCTTATTGTACCATATTGTATTTTTCGATTTAAAGCTTTCGTGACTGCAGGGATTCATATTCTTGGTTCTTTCGGTAAAGTCACCACGTAGAAGGGAAATAATAAAATAATAAAGAAAAATTTCTTGCTGTGGTTTTCACACCTGGTGATGATTTGCTTGTATTGCAATCGAAACGTCCTGATAATTTTATTATTTCCCTTCTACGTGACTTTTACCGAAAGAACCAAGAATATGAATACCATATTGTGTAAATAGGAAGGGCTGTATTTAAGTGAATGGGTGTTTCATTGCACTGTTTGTACTTTCTGCCCGCAGCCCATTCACATGACCTCCAACCTCCAGTTGAGGAATTGACAAATCAATGTATTACTCTGAAGCAAAGGCTGACTCGGGGCTTCTGGAACCCAGTGTCTAAGGGTACAAATTAAAAAAAAGATCCTGACTCGCAAAGAGAAGTTTACGAAGTCAGGCCTCTCTAGTGCCCATCGGGTCGAGCTCCTGTGCACACACTTTGTTGACAATAATCACTGCAACTACCTGGAGAAAGGGATGACAACTCTTGCGAAGCGCCGACTTGAAGGGTTTTCTTCCACCCCCCCTGCTGGCCGTTTGCTCACTAATGGACGCAGTTTCCCAGTGCCAGGTGAAGAGGGCGGCTGTGATTATCACTGAACCGTTCTGGAGAAAAAGGAAGAAAGGGTGCACAATGTGGGGGCCAGGGAGGAAGCCTCACCGTGTCGGTAAAAAAAAAAGACATGATTACACTTTCTGTTCATAGCCATGTATGCAATGTACGCTGTTATTGTGCATGAGTCGTGCACCGCTGTCACATGGTGGATGTTCACGTGCGAGGAGGGAAGTTATTTGTATGGAAATCAGGGCTCCCTGCTCGCGTCACAGTGAAGAATGCAGCCAAGATGGCTGCTTTGCACTTGTGATGCCCCTTGCAAGGCTTCCAGCGTACCGGGCTGTTTGTGATGCGATTCCTTGGTCGGCTCAGGATTTAATTGAAAGAGCTTGATGCTCTGTTGGTGGAATGGCTTTCAGGCCACCACAGTACTTCAGAGTGCATCGAATGGACCTGGGATGTCGGAGATAATTTTGTTGAAACAAGGTGCTAAATTTCGATTTAAAGCTTTCGTGACTGCAGCGATTCATCTTCTTGGTTCTTTCGGTAAAGTCACCACCACGTTAGAATGGAAATAAAATAATAAAAGTATTTTTTGTTTTATTATGTTTTTATTTTTTATTATTTTATTTCCATTCTACGTTGACTTTACCGAAAGAACCAAGAAGAAGGTGCTAAATGTGTTGTTCCTGCCATCTGCAGTTGGTTGCACGTTATGTAATACATAAAACATCACTGGCTGCCCCATGCGCAAATATTTGGAGGCAAACACGAGTATTATTGCATACAAAAACTTGTTGAGCAGCAACATGTTGGTGTAGGGCATGGGCCACAGTAATGGTAGTTTACACAGGGGCCAAAAGTGAGCACAAGAGCGGTGGTTTACACACAGGCCATGGTGTACACAAGAGGCCACGCCGTCCGTAATACTGTGGTTATGGTGTACACAACCAGTTTGCTGTGTGCACATAATCGGATTGTACATTAGGGCTGTGGTGTATGTTCTTGGCCAAGAAGTGTGTTGCGTCACAGAATTCAATTCTGTCACAGGCAGGACAACACGCATCAGGGTATTCTGTAAATGATCACTGGCCAGCTAAAGTTGTGGTACAAAGGTTAAGGGATTAATAGAGGGGACGTTAGCACCCAGGATAACCTGACACACCTGGGGTGGAGGGCAGAGATCAATGCCCGTACTCTTATTCCGAAGTCAGCAATGATAGCCGAAATGCAATTAGGCTCATAAATTGCTTGAAGTGCTCGGCGTAAAATTTTACAGGAACAATAAAATGTGAACTCAGTGGCGGCTGAGCCAGATGCACATTTTGCTTTTGGCAGAACTGACCTCTGGCTCTTTCCTCAAAGGGGGCGGGGGGGGGTGTTCCTTCCTCCTGGCTAGCAGATCTAACCCCGTCGTCCCATAGGGGTTTGTCTGCACGTGCCATGGTTTGCAATGCTGTGAATTGCCATGCTTAAAACATGAGCATATTGTCAGGAAAAACAGATAGAGTGTGAGATGGAAAAAAATCCTGAATTCCTCAATCTGGCTGATGTGAGCCAAGGTCTTGGACATGCCAATGCCGTCAGCTTTGAGATTAAACAGAATATTAACAGTGCTGTATACAAAGCGACTCTTAGTCGAAACACTGTATATTACTAATTAACATTGATTTCAAAGCATTGTTTCAAACAATAGAACTGCTGGGATTACCATGCTGTAATTTTATGCGAAGTTCTTCAGCTTTTCCAACAAACCGTATAAATCAGCCCGATAAAAAAATATGTATTAAATGTAATCTCAATCACATTTTGGCCTCATTGGCCACCTAGCAGCACTCAATGGCCAAAAGCCCTATTTCGTCCCGTTAAGCTGAACAGTGTCACCTGGTAAGCTGTGTCAGGAGTGGGACCGGTTGCGACTGTCTTGTATCTCCTTCCTATCCTGACGAAAAGTCTCCCTGTGTCCTGCTTCTGACCGCCTCTCAGTGACACCCCCACCCACCCACACAATTCCTGCCGAGACGAGAGATAACATCGCAAGAGCAGTGCTTTTAAGCCCCAATAGAGATGGAAGCACATTGTGCTCTTTGATACTATATCGTATACCAGATAAATATATGTTAACAGGTCATATGTTAAACACGCGTAACCAAAATAGCTTGTTATTCCTCCGGTGTCAAGTTATTTGAAAGCAAAAAAAAAGCTTCTTCAGCACTGTGTGCTGCGATGGATGGTAGCTTGAATGGGGGAGCCAGGATTTTCAGGTAGGGGGGGGCAACCCCTCCAGCAGTTTTTAGCAAGCAAGAGGTTGTTAGTAAGCAATGAGTTGTTAGTAAGCAATGAGTTGTTAGTAAGCAATGAGTTGTTAGTAAGCAATGAGTTGTTAGTAAGGACTTGTCCCTTGCTTTCTATTCGACGCGTGTGCGGCGATGGCGCAGCCATCGATCGAGGGGTCGAATTGCGAACCGCGTTGTGTGATCGCCATCGCGCTCGCTGAAGGTGTTGATGCCTTTAGGGGAAGTCGTGGACTGTCTACGCAACTGCGCACAATTCTGTGAGTCACTTACAACTGCTTTGCCGTTACTTATTGCTAATTATGTACTCAGACTATTGTCCTATCATCTCATAGAGTCCCTGGCACGTGATAATATGCTACACAGTGCCAGTGGTGGTCACAAAATGCCGATTTATCACTCATAAACCCCACTGATACGATCGAAATCCCTCATTTCGATCGGATCATTGAGGGGTGGGGGGGGGCACGTGCCACCCCCCACCCCACCCCACTGAGCTTGCCACCGGAGGTAACGCCCTGGTGAGCGGCAACCTTCCCGTTCCGTTCTCATCGACGTTGGTGGCATGGCGAGAGTTCTCCGACATTGATCCGGGGGCGCAGAGAGCGTGTGCTTGGGACGTCAGCCCCGCGGTGCGCGCACCGAGATGCGGGCCCCAGTGCCGATGCAACTGGCTTCACGCACGAGTTATTATGGCGAGGGTTGTTAGGGTGTGCCCGGCGTCGTGCATGGGGAGTGTACACACGTGTGAGGCGGTAACACGATGCGTTGCGTGTTCGTCTGTGTCGCATCATGCGTGCGCGTGTGTGTGTGTGTGTGCGCATATGTTGTCCGTCATTGTGCGAGTGCGTGCGTGTGTGTGCACGTAGCCTACCACCGTCACTTGGTGGCAAATGGGGGGTTGTTGTTATCGTTATGTGTATTGTATCATGTTGTGCCTGTGCGTTTGTGGCGCATCATGCTATGCGCGCATGTGTGTTCCATCATGCGCGCGTGTGCGTGTGTGTGTGTTTATGGCGTTCTTCATTGGGCGTGTGTGAGTGTGTTATTCATCACG